TGAACTCCTGGGCTCAAGCAATCTTCCTACCTCAGCCTCCTGAGTAGAGTAGGTGAGACCACAGGCGTGCGCCACCATGCCCTACTAAGTTTTTTATTTCTTGTAGAGACAGGGTTTCACCATGTTGCCAAGTCTAGTCTCGAACTCCTAGGCTCAAGTGATCTGCCTGCCTCAGCCTCCCAAAGTGCTGGGATTACAAGTGTGAGCCACTGCCCACAGCTGCTTCTCCTTTCTTTACAATGATGTTATCCATTTTAGTAGTTTGGGTGGATTCATACTTTTGTGGGGGAAAAGGTAGTTTTTTATGATTAGTTCATTATATTTAAGACAAAATGTAACACATACCAATGGGCATTTTACTTGGAAAGAAGTTCAAGGAAGAGACACTAGGATGTTTTAGAGACAGAGGATGTTGATTTCAAGGTTTATTGAGACATTAAAAAAGTAATTTCACGAATTAATATTTCCCTTTAAATATAAAAGTGCTTATGCTTACAAATCCTTAAGGCTCATTCTGTTACAGTACAGCAAGAGGTTGCCGCATCCCAGAAACTGTACTGCATGAGTTTCAGGTGAATTACAGAAACAGCAAAATCTCCAAACAGTAAAGTAAGTGTCAACGACTCCAGTGTCTTTGCACCTGTAAATTTTAGACTCAGACAAAATACAAGATCGTTCTAGACAAATTCTTAATATTAGATGTGTTCTCCACTCCTCCCTAAGATCTTGCCAAAACAATACACTATTAAATTATTTATGATTTGAATGTGGAGTTTTCTTTGCAATATGATAAATGTAACTGTGGGGACATGAGAGAGAGAGAGAGAGAAAGCGGGTTTTACATTTGCACTGCCACATGCAGATAACAGTAATGCCCAGAGTGAAGACTTTAGGTTCCTTGTGTGCAGATATCTTAGAAGCAGCTTAGGAGATGGGATCCCTGAACAGAAATGAGATTTGGCCTGCTTAGGGAGAGGGAACCACTTAAACTTCCCTGGAAGACTTACAGGGTCACTGTTTCAGCTGATATACATTGCAACCTCACCGCAGACTGCAAATTATTTTTGCACATTTCTACACTACAACTATGTGCAATGTCCTCATAGTTATGTAGATGTTCTTTCAGGAAGAAGGTAACATTTATTGTAGGTTTTTAGAATTTCTAATTTCAGAAAAATCACAAGCTCATTACAGAAAATTTGGAGAATAGAGACAAACACAAAAGGAAACACCAATCTTCCAAACAGTGAAATATTCTGATGCATGTACTTTCCAGTCTATTTATATGAATGCCTCAAAATGAATTTGTATTGTATGCGATATTTTGGAGTAGAAAAAAGTTTCATTGCAAGAAGTATTCACAGATTTTAAGAAGAAAGGCTGGAAGAAGTGATTCTTATTAAAGTCACCGGTCTTTAATTAATTGCTTGGATTAACATTTTTTCCCCACATACTCAGAGACACAGGTAGGAGCCTGCCACTTTCTCAGCAGCAGTATTTGTAATGTTGCTGCTTAACAGAGCCATTATGGCTACTTGGATTAAAATAATAACTATCAACACAGATTCTGCACTTTCTCCACAATCACATCCAAAGGCACTAACAAGAACCCCCAAATGAATATCAAAATGAACTTGATCTATTTTAATAGAGAATAACTAGAAGAGACACAAGAATGGTATTGGCTCTAATAGATAGAGTTTTCATTAATACTACAATATGTACATTTTCACAACATAAATTACTATAGAGAATTGTCCTATTTAAAATCCTCTTCAATTCTTGAAACCATCCTAAGATCCATGCCTGCAAGATGAAGGCCCTATAATTTGTTTTTGTGACTGCCAAACCTAGATCACCAGAAAAGTCTCGAAGGAGATAAGCTGGCTCCCAAGTTGCTGACAGCTTTCCCAAGACCAAAACGCAGAATTTGAAAAGGTGTTTGATGTGACACACTATGTCTTTGATATCAGAATACTGAAGTAGAGTTGCTAGCTCCATGAATAAACCTCCAAGATGATACACACAACACAAAAAATGGAATTTTCAATTCCTTCACTGCCTGGGGCAGACTTCATGTGAGGGACTTTAAATGTTTACAGAACTGTGTAAGCAAGAGACTATTACGTTGTAACAGGAGTACCTGTTCCTTAGCACTCTGCCTGAGAAAGGGTGAGGTCCAAGTGTCCACCTGGTGTATTTCCTTCCGCTGATAAATATTGTGTTGCCAGGCTGGGCGCAGTGGCTCACGCCTGTAATCCCAGCATTTTGGGAGGCTGAGGCGGGTAGATCACCTGAGGTCAGGAGTTCAAGACCAACCTGGCCAACATGGGAAAACCCTGTTTCTACTAAAAATACAAAAATTAGCCAGGTGTGGTGGTGGACACCTGTAATCCCAGCTACTCAGGAGGCTGAGGCAGGAGAATTGCTTGAACCCAGGAGGTGGAGGTTGCAGTGAGCCAAGATCATGTGACTGAACCCTAGTCTGGGTGACAGAATGAGACCCTGTCTCAAAAAAAAATTGTGTTGCCACTTTAGAACTTTTTAGCTAACTACCTGGAATTTTCACTGGGCAACATCTCATGCTTCTGTGAAAAGGACATTAGTATTGAGTTAGGCATAAATCAGGCTGACTCTTTCATCATGTCCAGCCATCGTTTCATTTTTTTTTTTAAACTGAAGAAAAATTAGGAAAGGGATTTCCAGTGAGTATGAAAAGAAGGGCTCTTGCGTATGTCACGATTACTTTGGTTAAGCTCAAAGCACTGATTTACTGATGCAAGGCAGACACAGTGGCCCTGTGCCTAAATAACATAAGAGCTAAAAATTTCAATGCACCCTTGAGGGCAACATCCAGATCATTCATTGGATTTCCAGTCTTTGTCTTCATGATTGGGGTTAGAATGTCCAGTCATTAGTTGTGCATCTCAAAATTCAATGAGGTCATATGTTGATTTTCCTCTCTACTGGTACAGCTACTAAAGTTTCTCCTACAATTAAATAATTATATGTTGATGCAACCACCTAACCCACTAGAGAAAAAAAAATCATCCATTTTCTCAAGAGAGGTTTCCTCTTTCTTTTCCGAAGCTTAAGCACGGCTTACCTTAAGTCCCTTCTGACAGATCTCCTTTCTCAAGAGACGAACCTCCCCAAGCAGCTGTCCTCTGCCTCCTACCCCCCACCCCTCAACAAAAATTATCATCAGAGTCACAAGATTCACATGAAGAGAACTCACCATGGGAGCACAGGAAGCCTGATTGTGCCACAGGTCTCTGGTGATGCTTGTAGCTTGGTGTGCAGTAGGCATGCTATTTTCTCAAGGAAGATGGCAGCTGTTGGAAGCTTGGACCCCATGTTGCTTCTTCCCCTTCCCAGCTGGATAGCCCCTGATTTTTTAAAACTAGGGTGTGATGAGAAAGAGGAGGATGGGGTATACCACCCACAGTGGGGTACTAGGTAGCGCTGCTGCCCTTTCCACCTTGGTGTTAGAACTCTGCCTGTAACCAGGAAGAACTCAAAGTGGTAGCCACACAGGTGAAGAAGCTCCTGCTCTGGTGTCTTCCCTGGCTGTTCCTGTCCCCTTCCCATCTCATGGGGGTGGGTATGGCTATCCTGCTATCCCCCTCTTGGTCTGCTAGATCCTAATCCAATCTAGACCCTAGGAGAAAGTTCCATCTCCCACATTGTTCACGTGTACACATTGGTGTCTGCAGACATAATGTATTCCCTTCGCCTCTGTTTCTGTTTAAAACCCTGCCAAGTGTGACAATTAGTATCTCAAAAAGCTTGTGCAGATCTGTTGATCCTCAAAGTCGCTCAGTAAGGTGGCTGACATGTTGCATTGCACTTCACTTAGAGGACTAACTGCTTTATTCAAAGACCAGGTGCAGCAGGACAAAGGAATAGGGTGCTTGGGCACTCCAGCTACAGTCTGACTATGTGGGCCCAACATGAGTGCATTCTTGTGCTGGAGCTCTATTTCCTTAAAGCCTCCACTGTTGCTAATAATTGTTCTATTAATAGTAAGGAGTCAAGATATGAAATCCGACTTATAGAACTTGCAAGGAAAAAACTCTAAAGGAACAAAAGATCAACCCAGCCCACAGAGTAGGACAGTGTGTGTGTGTTTGTGTGTGTGACGCTTTGGGAACTTCAGGGGATTAATAATCTGTTTGCAAATTACTCAAAATAAAGTGTCAATGCTGCTATGTCACCATTTAAACAGGCCTCAGAGATGGCTGGTGATGCTATGGAAGTGTCTATAAGTAAAGACCTGTGTGACACATGCTTAGAATTACAGACATCTCAGCTAAATAGCCATCCTTTGAGGTTTGTAATCACGCATGCTACAGATGAGTAAGATGGGAGACTCTAAGAATGTTCTTTGAAAAGTCAGATACCCTTGGCCCCTGAGGATGGAATGCTGCGTAATGAAGTTATGCATATTCCTCACTGCTGGGTATTTTCTTTTTGCTCCTATGGGCATGTAGAAATAAAGGGATCCTGAATACTGGGGAAAGTTGTTTTATTTTATGGAAAGTTGAAAAAGCAACGACAAGAAAACTAAAACATCCATATTATTTTAGTCACCCAACAACAGCCCTCTAAAAATCCTAAACCTTGGTGCTATGTTATATTATGTCTAGATCCAAGTATTTCTGGATGAGCTTTCCTATTTTAAAAATGGGTAAAAAAAAACCAAGTCCTTGATTCAGCTTTTCAGGTCACATCAACACTCCTGGTGCTTAAACACAAATGCTGATCCTTGGGTTGACTTGCAATTAGTGCCCTGAATTCACCCTCAGATCAATGTCTATAAAACTGGCTGTAAAAGAGGTGGATTTTCAAAGTAACACACAGAGATTTAATCCCTTGACTCCCATTACTGTGAGTAAGAGCTGTGACTCTAAATCCCCTTGCAGCTGACCCAAAATTTACCCCCTGCTGCCTCAGAGTGCCAATTAAATAATAAAAACCAAAACCGTGGTCAGATGTAATTAGTTTGAGAATGGAGTTTATAATTTTCCTCATGCCAAGCAAACAAGTTAACCCCTTTGGTGACATATACAGAATAATCTGGACAAAGGGAACACAAATCTCAAGTCTGAACATTTCTTGTGCTATTTGCCAGGAAGTTGTAATATTGAAAAACGGTGCTCTTCTGAGAATGGGAAAACGAGCACATAAACTCTGGTTCCAAATGGTTGGAAGGGCAGTTTATGTGGTAAGGCTGTTTTTCCTCTTTCATTAGAGAAAAAAAAAAATCTTTCAAGACTCCACTTGATCCAGGTATCTTTGAAAATGTATGACTTCTTGAAAGTATAATTCTGATAGGAACAGACATATAATTCTGATATGTCTTCAATACAGACCTATGATTCTGATAGGTCTTCAAAAAGAAAGAATATCAAGTTCAGTGGTTCGTGAAGCAAAGCCAAGTCCCCTGTCCCACCCATTGCTGGGATGAGGGCTTCTCCACGGTGACCCTGCATCAGGGTTCTTCTGTACCCCTCTGCTTGGTTAATGAGGACTCAACTGAACTGCCCTTCTGTAAACAAACCCTGTCTGCATTTTTCTTTCTAGACACAATTGAATTGTGTCAGATGGTATAGGAGGAAAAAGACAAAGGTTATTTGAATTTAAGGATATGGGCTAGATCGGGTGAAGCGATGGTTTTGTTTTTGTTGCTGTTTCTGCTTCTTTAGTTTGGGGAGGAGGATAAGGAAAGGGGAGGGAGAGAAGGCTAAAGATGAAGTTAACAAACGTGCCCTCCCATGTAGGGGATACTTCATGTCAAGCCACTGGTCTAGTAGCTCCATCTTCTTAGTTCAAAATTCTCCTATTTTACTCTACCAAATATTGCAAACATGATTCCACCACGTTGGTTTCAGATGGAAGAGCCTGGCACACAAATCAGGGAAGTAACTTGTGACACTGAAGAATGACAGAGCAACATCCCAGGACTACTGGCTGAACAGGAACCCTGTGGCCATTGAGATGACCTTCTCAAACTTCCTGTTCAGCCCTCACTGGGACACTGGAGGATGTTTCTACATGTGCGTACGTGCGTGAGTGCATGCGTACGTGTGTGTGTGTGTATCAGGAAACAGCAAAGACAAATAATGAACTATAGCTATAATAAAGAAAAACATACTTTTTTCATGAAAAATGTCAGACTTCATACTAATAATCTGTGGGAGCTACATTTAAACCATTTATGAAACAAAAAGATTGCTTTTAAAGAGATTATAAACTGGGAGCCAGAACAACTGACTTGAACGTATTTTGATTCTCAAGTTTCCTTGTAAAAATATTCACAGAAATTGGTGAACATCTTTTACATACAACTCAACTTCTGTCATTTACAACATAAATCATTTAATGTAACATTTGCAACCTTAGAAAGGCAGACATATTTAATCCAAGTCCGTTTATAAATTCCAATTTCACATGGATTAAAAACTGCAGATAAATTAAGTCACAATAATATCCTGTACATGCATTAAGGCTGGTGACTGCTAAAGTCTCTTGGGAATCTACAAATAGGAAATCACACGCAGATTACTGGGCCAGAAGAGTGTCTACTTTGTTAAAAAAATCTTGCTTTTTTTTTTGGTGATGCAGATTTCAACAGTAACTCTGGAAAACTGTGAAAAATGTTATTTAAAAATATATATGTATATGCTACTGCACAGTTTCAAAGATGTGATTCATAAATAATGTTGGCTGCACTGATTTAATTTTATAACAATTACTGCACTTCCAAGTTGATGCGAACACGCAGTGACTTACACTCAATATTAGGCACTAGTAATATCCTTCAGGCATACTACAGTTTTATGTTAGCTGTATTGTACATATATATTTTTAAATGTATGCATTTATACAAACTGTGTATATTATGTATGGGGTGTCAGAAATGTACACATCACTGTTATATAATACACACATCATTGTTGTACATATTACGGTAAGTTTTAGTGCAGAAAGTCTCATAGCATTGCATTCCATGTGTTCAATCTAGTACACAATTTGTCAACTCTTCAGATTATTTTTCCAGTACATTCCTCATTAGATAGTGGGTTTCAAGTTTCCATTTGCAATTTGAATGTTTGAATGTTTCCAGAAATCTCTGTCTTAACCAAACCTCTCTCTCCAGGCACAATTCTGCAACTGAGTCTGATCTGTATGGAATAGTATCATCAAAAATGCCAAATTTTCATTAGGAATATATCTGGGCTACTGTCTTTCAAAGGTAATTGAACATTGTGATAAAGGATAATATCCATTCAGGTCATGGGAAGGATATGGTCAGTTCAACTTGTGTTGAACTTCAGAGACAAGTGTAGGTCTTCAAATAGAAAGATGTAGTAATAAAAATTACTTGCTTAAATTTGAGAGTCTCTGGAAGGATATACATTAAACTGTGAGCAGTGGTTGTCTCAGGCAGAAGGAACAACCAGGGACTTACACTTTCTACTTTCTACATTTCTGCACTGTTTGAATTTTTACAATAAGCAGGTATTACTTTTCTAATCAGAAAACACAAGAAAGATATTTCAACTTGAAACATAAGTAAACAGGCCAGGCATGGTGGCTCATGCCTGTAATCCCAGCACTTTGGGAGGCCGAGGCCAGAGGATCACTTGAGCCCAGGAGTTTGAGACCAGCCTGGGCAACATAGTGAGACCCCATCTCTAAAAAAAAAATAAAGAAAAAATTAGCTGGGTATGGTGACATGTGCCTATGTTCCCAACTCCTTGGGAGGCTGAGGCAGGAGGATCACTTGAGCCCAAGAATTGCAGGGAGCCGTGATTGCACCACTGCACTCCAGCTTGAGCCAGACCCGGTCTCAAAACCAAACCAAACCAATAACAACAGCAGCAACAACAAAACTAATTAAAAGGAACAAGTTATGAATGACTTTCACAAGCAACAACAGGAAGACGGTTCCTAACCAAAGTCATCTATGCCAAACTCCACAGAAACTGCTGTAGCAACGTGTTCTTCAGATGAAGCGAGAGACAGTGATAGGAACTGCAGGCTCTGACCACTGCTCACAGGGGCAAGTTTCAAGAAGTTTTCTTGGGAAATGTGAGCCATCAGGGTGCTGATAAAACACTGCTGGCCCAATCAGCCAGAGGCCACCTGTCAAATGAGGCTTCACAGGGAAGCTCATCACATAGATGCCACAACAAAGCCTGTAACTTTCAAGGTGAGCAGGACCAGAGAAGCTCTCTGGGGATGCAGGACAGACCTTGAGGGTCATCCCTTTATGTTTATTTAATCAGGATTCTTCAAGTAGAACAAAGTGTCAGTCCTGCAAAAAAAATGACTCAAAATTTCTTAAGTTAGGTTCAAATTTCTGACATAGGATGGGATTGTGAACTCTGCCAAAAATTAGTGGAAGGACTGGGCACAGTGGCTCATGCCTGTAATCACAGCACTTTTGGAGGCAGAGGCAGATGGATCACCTGAGGTCAAGAGTTTGAGACCAGCCTGGCCAACATGGCAAAACCCAGTCTCTACTAAAAATTACAAAAATTAGCTGGGTATGGTGGTGCATGCCTGTAATCCCAGCTACTTGGGAGGCTGAGGCAGGAGAATCGCTTGAACCCAGGAGGCAGAGATTGCAGTGAGCTGAGATCGTGCCATTGCACTCCAGCCTGGGAAACAGAGCGAGACTCCGCCTGAAAAAAAAAAAGTGAAAGGGTTGTAAGAAGCACCTTAATTGGAGATACGTAAAATGGAAATCTTCTTAATATTCCCAAATGCTTGAAGGCCAAAATCGCAAATTCCACAAGCCCTTCACTTGCTTATTTTCAATTAATTTCAAGTCATCTAAGTTGTTCAATCATTTATATGATTTTGATTCAGTGCTCAGAGCTAGGGAATTAGAATGATCTTGTTTCCCACCTACAGATCAGGCTGACAAAAATGTTAACGCTGCAACCCAACCTATAAGAGTATCAGTGAATGTATATAATCATAAGAGTATCAGTGAATGTATATAATCATAAGAGTAACAGTGAATGTATATAATCAGCAGCTGGTCTTAAGTATTTTGTGCTGCCATCACCTTGAATAAATGGATTATTCCACAGACTGCACTGCTTGCCTTTCTCAGACTGTCCTGGTGCAACTTTATCAAGTAAGAGGCCTCAAGGACATTATTTTTGTTTTTAAAGTGTGGCAAGATAGACCTTCTTTTTCAGGAGTTATTTTCTTTTCACCAAGATTTTATATCCAAATATATTTAACAAGACAACTAAATCTAGGGCATAAGACATTATAAAAGAAAAAAGTCAGACAAAAACTGTAAACAAGATGTCAAAAAAACCCTAAAATGTAAACTTAATTTTAAAAAAGAAAACAAGAAGAAAACCCAGAGCAAGATGTAAACATACCAGACGCACAGGACACAGGAAGAGGCTCTGGTTGCTGCTGCCCCCAGACAGGAACTAGGATCTCCTGCACTGCAAGCAGCCTGCTAATCAAAGCCTGAAAAATCACCCCAAATCAAAATGCACCTAAGGACTGCAGTGGCACATTCTGCATGAGGAGTGAGAGGATCAGACAGCATTATCATGGCAAATAGCTCTTAGCCTGGAAAGCAAAGGATTCAGGCTCCTACTGAGGTGACATTCTAGGTAATGGCCTGTTTAGCCAAGGAAATCTGTAAGAAAGCTATTGGTGGAAAGAAAATGCTTGAACACAGATTGACTGACAAATGCCACGTGCCTCTACAGCATCAAGTCACAGTGGCAAGAAGAAGAAATGTGTGTGTTATCACAGGTGCCGAAAACCTCAACTCCTAACTGAGCTCCAACACACAGTCACTGCTGCTTTAGTATCTGTTTGCCAAATCTCAGTGCCATTTGCATACTACTTGGGGGCGGGGCTGAGACGGGCTGTGAGTGTCCATCCTTTTGCCTGGAATGCATTTAGTTGATAATAAAGTCAGATGGGGGAAGGGAATTAGAGGAAGAGTCGAGTATTTGGTAACATGCAATCTAGTAAACTTCTGGCACAAAAATATCTGGCTTATTTTCATTATTCAGTTATCCATTAATACATACCAATCAAAAAATAACTGGGGAATAGTTTATTAATACTGAAAGTAATCAATAAGATAAGAGCAGGTCCATCTTAACTGGCAGTCAAGCTTTTGGTGTGCTGTATTGCAACTGGTTAACTAACCCATGAGATTTTGGTTGAATTTTCTAAGAAGTCATGGTTTAGCACTGGAATAGAAAGTGTGTGTCTGTGAATGTGTGTGAGTATGGTGTATGTGTGTATTTCCTCTAATTAGAAACCTCTGATCACTTTGTCTAGCCTGGGATTATGGAAACTAGACAAAGAAGGTGTATTCTGAAGAGCTGTGTATCTTACACACATACACAGGCAGCTTCTTATATACCCACACATACAAACACACATGCCCTGGAAAAGACCATTGTTCAGTGCTGAGGAAATATTCACCGCAGTTTGATAAATGCTGTGGCTGGGAATTTCAGTAGCACAGTGTCAAAAAATGTTGAGCCATCTGTCGAGACCAGAGCTCAATCTGGCTCAAGGGTGAGGTCCCTATGACAGGTGGGTGCTGTTCCGCAGCCAGTGCAGGCCCTGTTGGGAGTACTGGACCAGGTGCTCCATGCTGCTGTGCAGGGTGACTGGCCCCATGAGCAGATCCAAGTCGTTGAAGAATTCTAGGGGACAGAGAGAGTTGTTAAGAATGCCACACATGCTAGGTGTGCTACGCTGAGCAACTGATTAGATGTAGAAAAAATTCCATTCATGGTCTCTATATAAATCAAGAATTCTCTGTTCCATCATGTAACTTTAGCATTCCTTTGAACAAAATAAAATCCAAGAGCGGAGAAATCATCCTATATCCAAATAAATAAATACACTCTATCTGCCATTTCTAAGTCAAATGAATAGCATTTGCTTAGCCAAAAGTAAAGAAAATCCATATATCCTCTGGCTGCATTCTCCTAGTCCAGTAATGCTTCCTCCACTCCTGAAAGTGAATGTGACTCTGTCGCCTCTCACCCTGTACTCAATTCTGGCATTTGCTGAGCCCCTGGAGTGAGTCCAAGGGCTGAGGCTCCAAACTCCTAGGGGCAAATCAGAGATGGACCATGAGACATCTGGACTGAAGTCACCTTCTAGCTTTTGAACATTCTCTAGGTTTGCCCTTTCACTAAACATTTATGATGTGGCGGGACATGGTGGCTCACACCTGTAATCCTAGCACTTTAGGAGGCAGAGGCGAGTGGATTGCTTGAGGTCAGGAGATCGCAACCAGCCGGGCCAACATGGCAAAACCCCATCTCTACTAAAGATACAAACACTAGCCAGGTGGTGGTGGTGGGTGCCTGTAATCCCAGCTACTCAGGAAGTTGAGGTGGGAGAATAGCTTGAACCTGGGAGGTGGAGGTTGCTGTGAGCCGAGATTTCGCCACTGCACTTTAGCCTGGGTGACAGAGCAAGACTCCACTTCAAACACAAACAAACCTTTATGATGTACCAAGGCACTCCGCTAGGTGCAGCGGGGGTAGGGGAGGATACCAGGATGAATCATGTGTGGTCTCAAATCTATTGCCTCAAAGATCACAGTTTAGTGGCTGATAGAGACAAACACATTCATATGGCTACTCTGCTGTCATGGCTGGTAACTGAATACACTTCTTGGGAGTAAGCATCTGGGAAAAGTGTCTCAAAAGTGCAGCGATGGGAAGTGGCTAGGAGGTTGGTCAGGTCAGGGATCCAGGGGTAGAGCAGAGGAAGAGGTAGGGGGGTGGGGGAACAATGGCAAGTTTGCATTGGACACTTGGCACTGAGCCCTCAGGGAGGAGACATCTAGCAGGCAGCTGGCAGTGCCATCTGGAGCTCGGCCTGCTCCGGTTCTCCCAAACTGGACAGATGTATTTCTATACATTTGTCCTTTCTGTTTTGTCCACCAGTAACACCCAACCCACCCATTTCAGCCACTCAACTGCTAAGTGCTTTTCTTTCTTTTTTTCTTGAGATGGAGTCTCACTCTGTCGCCCAGCATGGAGTGCAATGGTGTGATCTTGGCTTACTGCAACCACCGCCTTCCAGGTTCAAGCAATTCTCCTGCTTCAGTCTCTCAAGTGGCTGGGATTACAGGCGTGTGTCACTGTGCCTGGCTAATGTTTGTATTTTTAGTAGAGATGGGGTTTTGCCATGTTGGCCAGGCTGGTCTCAAACACCCACCTCAGCCTCCCAAAGTCTAAGTGCTTTTCAAAGCCCTGTTCCATTGTTCGATGCCAGCTCCTCTAGCAAGCTCCTGCTGGTGGCCTCTGACCCCAATGGCATTCTTACTGGATTTTCAGAGTACATCACCTCTAGGCTGCATGTTACGTACTATGTGGTTTTATTTATCATCTCCTGCACTCTGCTATACATTCCTTATCTCATCCTGAACATCTTGCTCTTGACTTTGGAGGGTTATGATATCATAGGAACATAATTTGCATTTCATGGCTTGGAAGTGAACTCAGATTTGCACTCTTACCTGATGCTGCAGGGACAGCAGAAAATTAGTAAAACCTTGCAGGAGAAGAGTTAACAGCGTAGGTCAATATATAGAATAAACTATATCTCAAAAGAATCTATACCTGTTGACCCCAAAATTCTATTCCACAACTCCCTCCTAAGAAAACAATCAGAAATACGGCTCGGTGCTCAAGCCTGTAATCCCAGCACTTTGGGAGGCTGAGGTGAGTAGATCACAAGGTCAGGAGTTTGAGACCAGCCTGGCTAGCATGGTGAAACCCTGCATCTACTAAAAATACCAAAAAACTAGCTCTATATGGTGGTGTGCACCTGTAGTCCCAGCTACTAGGGAGGCTGAGGTGGGAGAATCGCTTAAACTGGGGAGGCGGAGGTTGCAGTGAGCTGAGATCGTGCCATTGCACCCCAGCCTGGTGACAGAGGAAGACTCTGTCTCAGAAAAAAAAATCAGAAATATGAACAATGACTTATGTAGGGATAATTAGCACAACATTATTTGTCACAGTGGAAAAAAACTGGAAGGAACAAATGTCTAACAATAAGAAAATGGTTTGAGAACTCATGATACTTTATACAATCAATAACTAGGCCAGTATTACAGAACCACTATAAACTGTTTTTGAACAAGTTAGTGACATGAGAAAATGCCTGATATGTCAGATGAAGAAAGGACACACAACTGCAGGAGTATACACTATGATCTTATTTTGGTGAAATAATGCATACTGGGAGGAAAAATAGTAGCAGAAACTTTAGTAGAATGTTTATGTAGTTACTTCTTTCTGATAAAATTATTGATGATTTACTGGTCACGGAGGATCATGCCTGTAATCCCAGCACTTTGGGAGGCCAAGGTGGGAGGATCATGAGGTCAGGAGTTCGAGACCAGCCTGGCCAAAATGGTGAAACCCCGTCTCTACTAAAAATACAAAAATTAGCCGGGCATGGTGGTGTGCGCCTGTAGTCCCAACTACTTGGGAGGCTGAGGCAGAAGAATTGCTTAAACCTAGGAGACTGAGGCAGAGAATCACTTGATTTAGCCCACTGGCTAGAGGAAAGTGTTAGGTGTGTGTATCAAGCAACTCTCGGTCTCCCAAAATGTTGGGATTACAGGCGTGGGCCACTACACCCTGCCTTACATTACTTTTATAATCAGTAAAAACAAATGTTATTCAAAATGAAATACAGCTTATTGCTACACGTAAAACTCCTCTTTTCAATTGCAAGCAGCTGGCACTCAGAGTTAGTAACATTCTCATTCATTCATTCAGCGTTGCAGAGCTCCACCTGTGTTCTAGGCATGGGGCTAGGTCTTAGGAATACAAAGTTGAATACAATGTAATTCATACCTTTGAGAAGCCCACTGGCTAAAGGGAAAAGTGTAGGTGTGCGTATCTATACCTGCCCCTGGGTGTCTCACATCATTTTCCACTGAGGATAGGGGGAGACAAAGGCATCAGAGGCCCCACGGTAGGGGAGAGGTCAGCAGTCAGGAGGGTTCCCACCATTGGTGGCAACTCCTCCTATTTCTCCTTTGAGAGGCCATGGAAACTTGCCCACACTGCCCCAATCAGGTGGGCCTCCTGCTCCCCGAGGGGCACACGCACCTCGGTTTTCCTTGGCCAGGTTGTCGGCCATCTCCCAGTAGTCGTAGCTGTGCAGGATGCTGTTGGTGATGCTGACATGGTTGGCCGCCATCTGGTGGATGCGCTGTGGGATGCTGACGATGGTCGACGGGGACAGGGAGCTGGTGTTGGAGAGGCTGCCCTGAGACCCCACGGAGCTGGCGGGAGAGGGGTTGGGAGACATGGGGGATGGGGTTCCAGTGCTCCTGGAAGGTGAGAGGTAGAAAAACCAGAGTGGCGAGGCCGGGAGCAAGCGAGGCGGGGCAGCCCCTTGGGGAACGGTAAGCAAAGCGCAGTGGCCCAGCACCATGCACTGTCTGGCTTATGGCATTGACTTTGGAAAAGTGAACTTACTTTCCACTGGCCCCCCACGGAGACGGGGCTTGGGTGGCTTTAGATGAGTTCTGCAAGAAAATAAAAACAGTGACAGTGAATGCCATCTGCATGAGGTGAAACAGGTGACAGGAATGTGTTTTCAGATAATTGCAGAGAGAAGCAAAGGCAGACGCTGCAGGCAAAAGGCACCTTCAGAGAAACTGGACTTGGGAATTTTCCATTGCAGTTTTCTGTTCTCTCTCTGGAAGGGAGTTGGGGCAGCTGCCTGGACTTTGAAAGTTTAAAAGTACTTCTCTTAAAGGAGCTTGCTCTTGAATATTCCTAAAAGAATGTATTAAAATGTATTTCCCTAGCAGACAGGATATTCAAAAGTTCTAGTTTACCTAAATATTCTGATTTAGAAAGTTATTTTGCATGAACAAGGTACTTGCATCAGACCTCAGTGGGGTAAGTGAAAGGCTTCACCCAGAGCCTGGGTTATGTACAAATTTTAGTTAACACATTAAATCATAATCCCAAGGGTCTGTCAAATCTTGAAGCAGCCTTATTTTTTTCATTGTAAACGATTTTTTTAAAGGAATAAAGAGCAGGAACTCCCTCAAATCCCCTCTTATATACTTTATATTTAAAAGTAGGACCTATTTGGAGAAACATAGACATATCTTTACTTAATGCCTGAAAATATATGACATCATATTCTATTGTTTTAACTTAGGAAGTTTAATGTATTTCTCTTAAAGGAAGTTGCTCTTGCATATTCCTAACAGAATTGATTAAAATATATTTCCATAACAGACATGATGTTCAAACATTCTGTTTTATCTGAATATTCTGGCTTAGGAAGTTCAGTTGCACAAGCCAGATGTTTGCATCAGATATTTAAAAGTTTTGCCTCTAGTCAGGGAAGTTGCTAAATGCACAGTTAGATTTCCTCTCTAAGAACCCAATCATGCTTTCATAGGACTGTTAAGGAAGAAAGAGGTCTTTGTGATGCTGATGGGAATTTTTCCTTTCCAGAGACAAGAAAATAGCCTCAGCCTGATTCTCCAGAGACTAAGTATTCTTTTGGTTAGAAAGAGCTTTATGGAATGGTGACTGATTTTTCTAGTTTTAGTGTGGGTGTCGTTAAAATGGCAAGAAATGGCCTGTCAGAGCTCTGAAGTGCCACAATGGCAAGATGTAAATGTAAGGACAGCATTGCAAACCATGCCACTTTTACCTGTCTCAGGAAATACAATTGTTTTTGTGAGGAGAATTAGAAAAAGGAAACCTTCCTGAATAGGGGAGCTGATCCTCCCTTTCCTGACAGAATGTTACTGACACCTTTCTCAGTCTGTTGCTACTGGACTGATCACTTTGTTTCCATTTCATCCTGTGGTTCGGGGAACATGATCTATAGGATGGATGTTCTGCATATAACACGGGGGAGAAAGGCTTGGGAGCTGCAGAAACAGTCCAGTAAAGGCTACTGAACGGAGAAAGAAGGCGGTGGCTCACGCCTATAATCCCAACACTTTGGGAGGCCGAGGCAGGCGGATCACCTGAGGTCAGGAGTTTGAGACCAGCCTGCCCAATATGGTGAAACCCCATCTCTACGAAAAATACAAAAAATTAGCTGGGCATGGTGGTGCATGCCTATAGTCCTAGCTACTTGGGAGGCTGAGACAGGGGAATTGCTTGAACCTGGGAGGCGGAGGTAGGGTGAGCTGAGATTGTACCACTGCACTCCAGCCTGGGCGACAGGGTGAGACTCCATCTCAAAAAAAAAAGTCTTGAGCTGTCTTCCTCCACCACTAATCCCCATGCCCAAGAAATACTGGGTTGGTAAAAAAAAATACCAACAACGCTCTTTTTTAATAGAGATAGTGCTGTACTGATAAAACATATTCTCTATAGCCAAATTGTTTTGGGTACCTTAAGATTTCATTTTAGGTACTCAAAGTAGCATTTAAATAGCCTTTTGAGGCGGAGTGTGTGGCTCACAATGGTAATCCTAGCACTTAGGGGGGCCAAAGTGGTAGGATCGCTGGAGGACAGGAGTTTGAGGAGAGCCTGGACAACCTGGGGGGGCCCCACATCTACAAAAAATGAAAAAATGAGCTGGGTGTGGTGACCTGTATCTGTGGTCTCAGTGACTTGGGAGGCTGAGGTGGGAGGACTGCTTGAGCTCAGGAATTCAAAGCTGTAGTGAGCTCCAATTGCCCAACTGTACTCCAGCCTGGGTGAAAGAACAAGACTCAAAAAAAAAAAAAAAGCCCTTGAAACTTTGTATACAACTTTCAGTTATCAGGAATCAGGAATAAGTTCTGGAGATCTATTGTACAGCATGGCGACTACAATGAATAATAATGTATAGCATACTTGGAAATCTCTAAAAGGATCATTTTAAATGTTCCCATCACGAAAATGATGAGTGAGGTGATAAATATGTTAATTAGCTTGGTTTAATCATTCCACAATGTATAAATATATCAAAACCTCACATTATACATAATAAGCACATGCAATTTGTTGTTGGTTAATTAAAAAAATTTCAAAAATAGCTTTTGATAAAGGGTAAATGACATTAACTCCTGGAGGAGAAACTGATTTTCCGGTGGTGTTTTCTACCCATTTTGTTTGTATTTGTGGGCTGCAGAGAATATTAAGAACTTATATCCCTCAGTTTGTTGTAGCTCCTGGTGGCTTATAGAATTCAGCTTCCTTCTTTATTCAAGCATTTTCCTTCATTGTAATAATTCTCTTTAGCATTAGCTCTTACGGTCTGGATTTCTGAACACCATTGATGTTGATTTTAGGTGCCTGAAGGAAAGGGAAGGCTCAATGCTGGTTCTTGTCCTGATGACACACCATGGTCAATGGGCCGAGAAAGCGATGTTCATGATCTAGCGCCTGGTTACTCTACATGTGCAATTAGGAAAATGTGCTAACATACCTCAGGAACCGCCAGCACAGCCTGGCCATTAGACAGCATCTCTGGGAAGAGGAGGCTGGGCATGAGTGGATCTCAAATGATGACTGTGTATATGACAAAGGGCTGGTGGAGGTAGAGATAGGATAATTTCTACTTTCTATAGATAGAGGCCCAGAAATGAATTATTAATGTAAGGTTGACCTCACAACAGTACATCAGAGAAGGCTTTTAAAAATTTATTCTTCAAGCGAAAATAATTTCATTCCTTGAGATAAGCGAAAGCTGGCATGGTTTGCAATTTTGTCCCTATAGCTATATACATTGCTATCTACTGCCTCTGAGTTCTAACAATCCATCTCTTACCATTTTAAATAACACCTCTATTAAAAATTTAATTAGCTACTAGAGATAGCTGAGAGGAAATGGCTCTAAGGGGTTAATTCTAAGGAAAAGAAGCTCTAAGTGAGCACGAGGAATTTATGTTAGCTATAAAGATGAATTTCCTAGGACACTGGAATGAGTAACTGGATCTTCTTTCTTTGAAACCATAAAAAGACTTGGACAAGGCCAGCTGCAGAGGCTCATGCCTACATTCCCTGCACTTTGGGAGGCCGAGGCAGGTGGATCACTTGAGGTCAGTAGTTTGAGACCAGCCTGACCAACATGGTGAAACCCTGTCTCTACTAAAAATACAAAATTAGCTGGGCATGTGGTGGGTGCCTCAGAAGGCTACTCAGAAGGCTGAGGCAAAAGAATCGCTTGAACCCAGGAGGTGGAGGTTGCAGTGAGCCAAGATCACACCATTGTACTTCAGCCTGGGCAACAAAGAGTGAAGAAACTCCATCTCAAAAAAACACAAAAATAACAAATAAATAAATAAATAAAAATACTTGGAAAAGAAGGCAGGGCGATACATTAGACGAGCTCTCCAAGGCCCATTCGGAGCTCTGAAAGCCACAAGTGTGGCATAAATGGGCTTAGCTTGGGGGTCAGAGGTGACTTGCATTAGCCCAAAGCAATGGATTCTACCAGGAGCTTCACAAAAGACCTTGACAGGGAGACAAGTGAATTTAAGGAACAACTCTGCTCATTCACTAGATGGTACCTTGAAATAGTCGATAAGTGCTTTTGAATACTTTACAGCATGGTCCCTTTTGAGTCGAAACATCCTCCAGTACAGGAGAGCCAGGCATCGGTAACTGCGGCCGAAAAGAGAAACAGGCTGAGTGTGGCCTGCGCAAACAACACTTACATATTTTTGTTGTTTTGTTCTAAGGCACTCAATAACCAAACCTTGTTTACATATTTGAAATCTTTCTACATCTGCATATAATGTCTGTGAGTGACCACCTTTTGTCCAAAAATAGAATTCAAAATTCTAAGAAGGTATTCCATACATACATTTACCACTAGATCATTTTACAGCATTAGCTGAATCACTTCATTGGGTCACAGGGACCGACCACTTCCTTTTCCCACCACCAGAGGGCAGTGTCTCTCCACGAGAGGTACGAGGTAGAGGTAGCTCTAGCACGCAGCCGTCACCGTTTACGGCGAACCCCGCTCTGTGGAAAGGATGGCACCGCCACCTGTTTTTACTGAACTATATATAATTAGCTCCACTAAAGTCACAAACATGAATGTACTTTTTAAACAATAAAAACACTATGCTGGGAGTAGGTGCCATCATTTTATTATTTCCTATGATACTTTGTATATCTGTTTATATGTGAGTATTCTGTCTTATATAATCATATTATTGTCATTTAGTGTTTTATTCCAATATAGGACTTAAAGTTTGAAAGGGGCACAAAAGGTGTTTCTCAGACTTATCCTCTCTTCCTTGGAGCTCTTCACTCAGTGATTTGCTAACTCGGATCTGCTGCTGACATCCAGAATACCAACATTCTGGGTACAATGGCACCATCTCCTCCTAGCACACCGAACCCAGGACGGGTAACAACCTGACACCTTCTTTTTTGTGTCTGTTGCTGTTTTTTTTTTTAATTCAACTGTTTTTATTTCACTGCTTGATAGACATGTATTCTACCCATATTCTCTGCCTTCCACTTACTGATGAGTAAGGAAGGACTGACAGGTAAAGGAAATACAGGTTACCTGATCATTTCCTTTTTTCTGTGTCATCATTTTCAAAGTAAGTGGCTGGGCCGAGCATGATGGCTCATGCCTGTAATCCCAGCACTTTGGGAGGCTGAGGTGGGAAGATCACTTGAGGTCAGGAGTTTTGAGACCAGCCTGGCCAACATAGTGAAATCCTTTCTCTACTAAAATACAAACATTAGGCTGGGCATGGTAGCTCATGCCTGTAATCCCAGCACTTTGGGAGGCTGAGGTGGGTGGATCACCGGAGGTTGGGAGTTTGAGACCATCCTGGTCAACATGGTGAAACCTCATCCCTACTAAAAATGCAAAAATCAGCTAGTCCTGGTGGTACATGCCTGGAATCCCAGCTACTTGGGAGGCTGAGGCAGGAGAATCGCTTAAACCTGGGAGGTGGAAGTTGCAGTGAGCCCAGATCGCACCATTGCACTCCAGCCTGGGCAATAAAGCGAAACTCCATCTCAAAAAATCAAAAACAAAACCAAAAATTAGCCGGGCATGGCAGCATGCACCTGTAATCCCAGCTACTCGGGAGTCTGAGGCAGGAGAATGGCTTGAACCTGGGAGGAAGAGGTGGCAGTGAGCTGAGATTTCGCCAGTGTACTCCAGCCTGGGCAAAAAAGCGAGACTCTGTCTCAAAAACGAACAAACGAAAAACCCCAAAAACCCAAACCAACCAACCAAACAAAAAAAAAAACAAAGCAAGTGGCCAGCTGATATGGGGAAGTAGCATGGGTAAGAAAGGATGTGATGGGGTTCCTAGGTTTTTCATATTTCTTCTTTTTAAAAAATTTATCTTTCATTTTAATAGGGCTTTTTTTGGGAATAGGCAGTGTTTGGTTACATGAGTAAATTCTTTAGTGGCGATTTCTGTAACTTTGGTGCACCCATCACCCAATCAGTGTACACTGTACCCAATGTCTTTTATCCCTTAGCCCCCTCCCATCCTTTCCCCTGAGTCCCCAAAGTCCACTGTGTCATTTTTATGCTGTTAGGTGTTTTGAGACTCAATTAGATTCTCTAACTTGCAGATCAGGTTGTGGAGTAGAATATGAGCCTTTGGAGAACAAAAGATCTGGATCCCTTTTACAGGAGACCTGTGGAGAAAGTGTCGTGTCGTTTTGCAAGTGGAGGGGGTTGACCCTGGGAGAAGTCATGGGGAAAATGATTATTATTACTATAATGACAATCATTATCATTGTAATCATTATAAAGATAGAATGAAATTTACTACATGTAGGCTAACTTTTTGAAAGAAGTGATTTTATTATCAAAGTATAATGAGGCAGGGCTTGGTGGCTCATGCCTGTAATTAATTCCAGGGTTTTATTTTAGGAGGCCGAGGCAGGTGGATCACTTGAGGTAAGGAGTTCGAGACCAGCCTGGCCAACATGGCGAAACTCCATCTCTACTAAAATAATACAAAAAATTAGCTGGGTGTGGTGGCACACTCCTGTAATCCCAGCTACTGGGGAAGCTGAGGCATGACAATCACTTGAACCTGGGAGGCAGAGGTTGCAGTGAGCCAAGATCGTGCCACTGCCCTTCAGTCTGGGCAACAGAGTGAGACTTTGTCTCCAAAAACAAACAAACAAACAAACAAACAAACAAACAAACAAACAAACAAACAAAGAAAAACGAAAAAACTTTAATGTGTCATTTGCTTCAGTCATACTAATTCGGCATGTAAAGCAACACATGAATTAATTTGAATGCATCTAAAATGTTAAAACACAAAACTCCACTTGGCACAGTTCAGATTCAATTACTAAACCACAGACCTGTGTGATTTTAAACCACATGCACACACAGAAAAAAAGTACCCTGTGTAACTGGCCTGTTGATTTTCAATCACTGTGAATTCAGATCATGCATAGTACAGCAGCAAACAACAGCCTGGACTTTCCCTGGCCAACAGAACTGCTCTAGGCTTTGCATGTTTGAAGGCATTGGGAAAACACTGCATTTCAGCACCTGCTTTGCCGATATTCTAAGTGGAGACGGGCACTCACCATAATGCAGCCAGTTGTTTTTCTTCTGGTGTGGCACTCGGGCCTGAGTGGGTTTTTAGTCTCATAGCATACCTTAGGAAAAGCGGGGGAAGAATAGAACAAAAAAATTAAAAACAAAGAAATAGTAAAACAAGCTTTCTTATTAACAGAACTTCTGATGGTAGTTTTCCCTGACTGACACTTAGCTTTTCATAGTACTTGCTGATAATTTACTTTTTTTTTTTTTTTTTTTGAGACGGAGTTTCGCTCTTGTTACCCAGGCTGGAGTGCAATGGCGCCACCTCGGCTCACCACAACTTCCACCTCCTGGGTTCAGGCAATTCTCTTGCCTCAGCCTCCTGAGTAGCTGGGATTACAGATACGCACCACCATGCCCAGATAATTTTTTGTATTTTTAGTAGAGATGGGGTTTCACCATGTTGACCAGGATGGTCTTGATGTCTTGACCTCGTGATCCACCCGCCTTGGCCTCAAATCCCAAAGTGCTGGGATTACAGGCTTGAGCCACTGCGCCCAGCCTGATAATTCTTTCTTAAAAGCTAGCTGGTGCTGCTCCATTTTCCAAGTGTTCTGTTACTGTGACGACTAGAACATAACCACTGTTAGGACCGCCTAGCGGCTTTCTGCTCTTTAGCAATACAAGTTCAAATGCTACAGATTGTCAGGCGTGATATCAGTTCAAGAACTATTCCCGTATATGGTAACTTGTTCATTTTTCCAAATTTTGGTTTATGGCTGAGTGGCTGACAGATGGAGGGGACGTTCAGCCCTTCTGTGCTTACCTCCAGAATACTTTCCATCCTGGATATGCAGAGGAGTGCTCACATTCACCCTCCTTTCTTTGTTAGGTAACTGTTACTTTGACAGCCACGTAAGTGTCCTGAGTACATTTTTAATCTCTGTTTGCTTTTACAGACAGGTGCTACAAGAAACTACTGGCTTTTATGGACTGCACTTAGTTGCATTTATTTTTCTGAACCGAGCGGACTGTGGCCATTGCTTTCTCTTATCAACATACCAAATTACACATGTAGACTCTTTGAGAGAGCTGAGGCAGTACGTGTAATGATCAGATTGTCCTAGGTTCAAATCCCAGCTCAGCGACTTGTAAGTTTTAAGAGTTTAGACAAATGTGTTAACATCTTTAAGCCTCCATTTCCTTATCTATAAAATAAGACTAATACTGCCAATCACATAACATTGTTGAAAGAATTAATTAAGATAGTGTTGTAAAGTTCTTGGGATAGCTGGCTGGCTTGCAAATTGCTCAAGAAACACTCGGGTGAAGTATGGAAGTCTTACTTCAATTTAGATACCTTTAACTTCCCCATTTAAGAATAGCATTGTCTTGAGCATCAGATGCTTGTATAATTTTTAATTAAAAATTTTTTTTGTAGCAGTGGGGTCTTACTATGTTGTCCAGTATGGTTTCAAAGTCCTGGCCTGAAGCTATCCTCCCACCTTGGCCTCCTAAAGTGCTATGATTACAGATATGAGTCTAACCTGGTGGTATAATTTTTGTTTCAATCATCAAACCTGGTTTATAAAACTCACACAGAGAATAGTTTATTGTGTATATCTGTCTGTTCTTCCTTCTTTTGTCATTTTCTTTCTGTTTGAGAAACTTCCTTTAGCCAGTCTTGAAGGGTAGGCCTTTTAGAGACAAATACTTGTAGTTTTCCTAAATCTGAGGGTATCTTTATTTCCCTTCATTCTTGAAGAATAATTTCACTGAATTCATGGCTTGATAGTTCTTTCTTTCAACCCTTAGAAACTGTCATGCCACTCCCTTCCAGCCTCCATAGTTTCAGAAGAGAAGACTGCTATCATTTGAATTGATGCGCCCCTGCAGATAATGTGTCATTTTTCCCTGGCTGCTTATAGAATTTTTTGTTTGTAGTTTTTGGAAATGTAATTATGGTGTGTCTTTGCATGCATTTCTTTGGGTTTATCTTATTTGGGTTTTTCTCTGCTTCTTAAATCTGTAGGTTTATGTCTTTTGACAAATTTGGCAAGTTTCAGCCATTATTTCTTCAAATACTCTGTCAGTCCCACTCTCTATTCCTCTCCTCTGGGACTTCAATGAAACAAATGTTGGATCTTTTCTTATTTTACTTGAGGCTATATTCATTTAGTTTTTTTCAGTCTATTTCTTCTCTACTACTCAGATTGGGTAAATTATATTTTTTGTCTTCAAGTTCATTGACTCTTTCCTCTGTCATCTCTACTCTATTACTGAGCCCATTTTTGGGGCTTATTTTATCAAATTCTACAGTTCCACAATTTTCATTTAGTTATTTTAAAAATAACTTTCATTTCTTTGACAAGATGTTCTATTTTTTGTTTGTTGAATAACTGTGATTATTTATTGAAGCATTTTTACAATGGCTGCTTTAAAAATCCTTGTCAGATAATTCCAGCAACTGATGAATCTTTGTATTGAGGTCATCTGAACATCTTTCTTCATAGAAAGATGTGCTGGTTCTTTGATTGTGCTGGTTCTTGGTATGATGAGTAGGACTCAAGAGTCTCCTAACCTAATGGTCAAAATGTCCAGGATATTGTAGGATGTTTTGACCATTAGGTTAGGAGACTGAGTCCTACTTTAAATCCAGTCACCCTGTTTAGGTCTAGCAGGAAGGTCCTAGCTGCTTTTGGGGCTGGGTTCCAATTATAATTTAATTTTCAGAGTCTTTCTGATACTATTTTAGTCTGTGTGGTTAATCTGGTGCCCTGGGGCTCTAGCTGGTCCCTGATGGTGCTGCCTGTGGGGAATGGGAGGATGCCAGGAGAGGGTCACTAGGCTGGGCTCTCGTGGTGGCAGTGCTCCACTGACCCACGACCCTTGGCCCTCTGAAGTCCCACGGTAGAGAAAGGAATTTTCCTGCCTGTGAGGACAAAATGTACATCCTGGCTGGGTCTTCTTGGTGGTAATATCTTCTTACCAGTGCTCTGTGTCCCCTGGTGTCTCAATAGAGGAGAGGAGGCTCAGGCAGGGTGGGCAATGTGCAGATGTAATTAATGTTGTTTTCTAATGTAGGTTGACAAAAAGCCAAACCTCTCTTTTTATCTTAGTTGTCTCTGTATTTTACGTGATCTGTTCATTCTGAAGTATCTAGAAGGTGAACAGTGTTCTCTATCTGTGAAAGATTACTTCCATCAGTGGGCAGTGTGGGTGTGGCAACCTACCACCCTCTCCCTGATGGTGTGTCTGGCTGGCATGGGTTTTTGTTTGTTTGGGCTTGCTTGTTTGAATTTTCAAGTGTGAATGCCTTTAAGCAGGTCATGATACTCCAGTTCTCAGCTGGCCCTATGGCTTGCTTATTCATTGATTCCTCAATTATTTATTGAGCATACACTATGGGCTAGAAAATGTTCTAGGGGCCAAGGATCCCCAGTGAGCAAACCAGACAAAACCCAAAAATATGCCTGTGCTCAAAGTACTCACACGCCAGGGTATCTTCCAGCGTTGTCCCTGTCCGGTTTAACCCACTTTCCTCCCTGCCTGCCTATCAGCATTTGAGGCTGGGCCTTGTTGTGAGGAAGCAATGTATGGCACTGGGATCTCTTAGAGTAATTTTTACCCATCTTTTTATTTTGCTGTTTTCATTTCATCACTGCTGAAAGTAATGTGCCATATAAAAAGACAGTATAAAGGATTTGCCAATAGATTGAGTTAGTAGAAATACTTTATTAAGAAAAATGGGCAGTGTTGACTTTAAAACATTCTTGAAAAATGCTTTTTGGAGGTGATGTGTTCTCTGATGTCAGCATAACAGTTTCGCAGGCTGGAAACTATTTACTGAGGGAAAGCAGTGTGTAAAACACCAAGCAGCATCTTTGGGGCAGTGCAGACCAAAAGGATCACATCCTAAGATGATTGGACATCTTCCATGCAGAATGTTGGGACACGGTGGAAAATGTCGAAGCTTCGATTGCACAGAACCCCAGAATCAGAAAAATCTTTAAAGTTAGTTTTAGGAAGAATTATATCTCATAATGGATATTAGCCATTATGTCAAGCAGTTAAACTGGCTAAAAACCAGTTTAAACCATACTATGCAGGTTCTCAGTAGGGCTAAGGGATAAAATTCCCTTAACTGTTCATTACAGAGATGTGAAGAAGGTGCCTTTCCAGGTGTCCATTATGGACAAGTGTTTCTCATCGAAGGCCTTGACATGTCTGCTCATGGGTCTTAACATAGGTTGGGGAATGGTGACCATGCCGTTTTTTGATCAGACAGTATATTATAAGATGGCTTCTCCTTCCATAAAATCCCCCTGAATCTTCTTTCACTGAATACTCCTGATGTATTTACTGATGGAGTTAAGATTTAGATGATACTAACCTGAACCAGATTTTTTTTTTAAAAGCAGCCTAGGGAGTGAAATAGGCTCAAAATCTGCCACTTCCTAGCTGGGAGGAGCAGGCATGTCACAGCCCACTCAGACTCAGACTCCTCCCTCGCCAACTGGGGGCTACAGCAGCTGCCTTCCTTGCTCACAGAGGAGAGAGGGGGCAGGATGTGCCAAGGTGCCTTGCACAACCTTACCCTCTTATTGTGGGGGGATGAACACTGGTTCCTGGTGGTGGGTGGTGCAGGCTGACATTCTTTTCTCTCTATCCATAGTACTTTCATACATTCCTCATCTCCTCCCCACACCTGGCAAAATCCAGCTTACCTGATGAGCTCTACTGTTTCTGAATACATCGTATAAGGAGATTTAGATTCCATGGGGCCTTGTTCCATTGCATTTCCACACTCAATAAACGACAAGGCTGCTTCAGCATAGTTCAAAGCCTTTCCAAACTTTTCCACCTGATCAACAGAGTATACACAGTGTCTTCCTAAACAACAGTTTTTTTTAAAAAAAATGGCATTGTCATATAGTTTATACACTTTATTTGAGAAACCCAACTCTGACTTCCAAAATCCTGTGAATGAAGCCAAGAGAAGAAAGAAACAGCATACTTCTTTTCCTAGTTATTTTCTCAAACTGCTACTGGTCTGGAGTAAGTGAGCAAACAGTTACATACAGAATTGTACCAAACCTATGTGATAGCTGCCAATCAACAGAGCTCAGAACTGCATGGCTGCTCTAATTTCTGTTTCCCTCTTTCTAACCCCTAGTGGTTTGGTGACTTCATTCCTTGTTCCTCCATGCTATGCTAAATATACATCAAAGTTGATAGGTCTGGTCCCATAGGAGTTTTCATACTTTTTTTGGTACATCCCCAACTTGGATGGTTCCAGGCCTTGGTTATTATCTTTAACATTACTTGTGGCACTTATATCTCTATGCCTTCCTCTTCTCAAATTTTTTTTTTTTTTTTTTAGTGGAGTCTCCCTCTGTAGCCCAGGATGGAGTGCAGTGGTGCAATCTGGGCTCACTGCAACCTCTGCCTCCTGGGTTCAAGGGATTCTCCTGCCTCAGCCTCCTGAGTAGCTGGGATTACAGGCATGTGCCACAAATGCCTGGGTAATTTTTGTATTTTTAGTAGAGATGGGGTTTTGCCAGTTGGCCAGGATGGTCTCAAACTCTTGACCTCAAGTGATCCACCTGCCTCAGCCTCCCAAAGTGCTGGGATTACAATTAGGCCACCACACATGGCCTCAATTACTTATTTATTTTTTGTTGTTGATAGTTAGGACCTCACTCAAGAGTGTCAGTAGGGGCAAGGAGAGAAGATAAAACTCAGGGAGCTATCTCAGCTTTGCTAAAATAGGACACAAAGTTGAAAATTAATAATAAAAATTATTTTTGGTTGGGCATGGTGGCTCACGCCTGTAACCCCAGTGTTTTGGGAGGCTGAGGCAGAAGGATCATTTAAGCCCGGAAGTTTGAGGTTACAGTGAGCTATGATCACCTCACTGCACTCCAGCCTGGGCAACAGAGCAAGACCCTGTTCTCTAAAGACAAATTTCTATGGGATTATCTGTAGCTGTCTAAATTTGTGTTATTCTTTCCCCACATCAGCAAGGGCAACCACAAATCAGCTTTATAATCCCCAGTTTTCAAATGATTCATTCATCATTCAAAACATAGAATGATGTAATACTCAAATACTATTCCAAGCCTTGCCACTAAAAATACAAAAACAAAACAAAACAAAATACAAAACACACACATGCCAAATTTCATTAGTAATGATAGCTTTGAAAACAGAAATGTAGAGCAAATCTTCCCTCATTAGCAAATCAAAATTTTAAACAGCTTATAAAACTAGTGTAGGCTATAATGCAATATTTCTTTCTTTCTTTTTTTTCAGACAGGGTCTCACTCTGTCACCTATGCTGGAGTGCAGTGGCATGATCTCAGCTCACTGCATCCTTTGCCTCCTGGGTTCAAGCAATTCTTGTGTCTCAGCCTCCTGAATACCTTGGATTACAAGTGTGCGCCACCACACCTGGTTCTTTTTTTTTGGGGGGGGGGTATTTTTAGTAGAGACAGGGTTTTACCATGTTGACCAGGCTGGTCTCTTACTCCTGACCACAAATGATCCACCTGCTTCGGCCTCTCAAAGTGGTGGGATTACAGGTGTGAGCCACGGTGCCCGGCCTATAATGCATTATTTCTTGATAATACTTTCAGATGAAGTCATTTCACTTAATATTAATATTTCCTAAAGCACCCAATTCTGTGGCATGTACACTTAATAAGCCAAAGTTCTTTCCCAGAACATACACTTGGAGAGAGAAAATGTACACCTACAAGATAGTTCAAAGTGCAAGGCAGTCTGTGATTACCCAACAAAATGCAAAACGAGGTATCCAGTGCAAATGAGATGGAGGGAAGGAAGCTAGTGATAGGGCCACAGAGAGGCTGGGAAGGCCGCAGGGAGGAGACTGAACATGATGCTGGGAAGGAATGGTAGGGTCTGGCTTGATTTGGGGAGGACGCTGAGGGTGCAAGTATGCCTGTGAGAGTCTGTGAGAGTGAAGCTCTGCAGGTGGAAAGGCCCGCTGGCTGGCAGGAGCAAGGTGTGCTTAGTGGCCAGTAGGGGACCAGCCTGGCTGGAACAGAGTGTCTCCAGGAAAGGTAAGGTTGGGCAAGAGGACAATGAATAAATAATGCCATAAACCTTAGATACTGGATTCAGGCAGAAAATCTCATTCTCCTTAAAAATCTGATGCTCACCACCATGAACTTCATCTGGAACCAAAAGAGAGCCCGCATAGCCAAGTCAATTCTAAGCAAAAAGAACACAGCGGGGGGCATCACACTACCGGATTTCAAACTATACTACAAGGCTACAGTAATCAAAACAGCGTGGTATTGGTACCAAAACAGAGATATAGACCAATGGAACAAAACAGAGGCACCGGAGGCAACACAACATATCTACAACTACACAACCTTTGATAAACCTGACAAAAACAAGCAATGGGGAAAGGATTCCCTGTTTAACAAATGGTGTTGGGAAAACTGGCTAGCCATGTGCAGAAAGCAGAAACTGGACCCCTTCCTGACACCTTACACTAAAATTAACTCCAGATGGATTAAAGACTTAAACATAAGACCTGGCACAATAAAAACCCTAGAAGGAAATCTAGGCAAAACTATCCAGGACATAGGAGTAGGCAAGGACTTTATGAACAAAACACCAAAAGCATTGGCAACAAAAGCCAAAATAGACAAATAGGACCTAATCAAACTCCACAGCCTCTGCACGGCAAAAGAAACAGTCACTAGAGTGGATCGGCAACCAACAGAATGGGAAAAAATTTTCGCAGTCTACCCATCTGACAAAGGGCTGATATCCAGAATTTACAAAGAACTCAAACAGATTTACAGGAAAAAAACAAGCCCATTCAAAAGTGGGCAAAGGACATGAACAGACACTTTACGAAAGAAGACATATATGAGGCCAACAATCATATGAAAAAATGCTCATCATCACTGGTCATCAGAGAGTTGCAAATCAAAACCACATTGAGATACCATCTCACGCCAGTTAGAATGGCGATCATTAAAAAATCTGGAGACAACAGATGCTGGAGAGGATGTGGAGAAAAAGAAACACTTTTACACTGTTGGTGGGAGTGTAAATTAGTTCAACCATTGTGGAAGACAGTGTGGCGATTCCTCAAGGCCTTAGAAATAGAAATTCCATTTGACCCGGCAATCCCATTACTGGGTATATATCCAAAAGACTATAAATTGTTCTACTATAAGGACACATGTACACGAATGTTCATTGCAGCACTGTTTACAATAGCAAAGACCTGGAATCAACCCAAATTCCCATTGATAATAGACTGGATTGGAAAAATGTGGCACATACACACCATGGAATATTATGCAGCAATCAGAAATGATGAGTTTGTGTCGTTTGTAGGGACATGGATGAATCTGGAGAACATCATCCTCAGCAAACTGACACAAGAACAGAAATTGAAACACCGCATATTCTCACTCATAGGCGGGTGATGAAAAATGAGAACACATGGACACAGAAAGGGGAGTACTAAACACTGGGGTCTATTGGGGGGAAAAGGGGAGGGCCAGTGGGAGGGGGAGGTGGGGAGGGATAGCCTGGGGAGAAATGCCAAACGTGGGTGAAGGGGAAAAGGAAAGCAAAGCACACTGCCATGTGTGTACCTACGCAACTGTCTTGCATGCCCTGCTCATGTATCCCAAAACCTAAAATCCAATAAAAAATTTAAAAAAAAAAATCTGATGCTCTTCTCCAAGAGTGGTCATGCATCAGCTTCCCCAGATGACCAGACGTTTTCATCAGACTTGGACTGTGTGGACAAGAGCTGTACTTCCACTGCCCTTCTCTATTCTCTGACACTTAGGGGTTATTTGTCTTGTACCCCAGTGTACCTAGGCAGTGGTCCTCACGTAAATAAGTGTTTAATAGGTGATATAGGTAGCACTGGAAGAGGTGTACTGATACTGTTTAAACATCCTCAGTATTCTTAAGGTCACTGGAAATGCTGTCTTCATTTCCAGCACCTGCCTCAGTATCAGTTATGAACACCGGAGGAGACTAAAACTGGAATGACTAGGTGGGAAGCAGTCCCTCTGGACTTCATTCATTTACGATGGAACGACCATATGATCTCTTTTAGAAAAAAATAAAGTTTTCAATCTCCTGCCTGAGAGCTTCAAGCTTTCCAAAACAGGTGGTTATCCAAGCAAGAAAAGTTATTCTTTGAAAACATCAAATCATGGTGACTTTAGAGTCTCATGTGCAGATAACAGTTTCTGTGCTGTACAGTTTCAGAGAAAGCATTCATTTTGGCAGATACATGTGAAGAACACAAGTGTTTTTGAAAAGAGATTTGATCCTGGGACCAAGCCAAGGGTTTGTTAGGCTAACAAGAGAAAAATGCAAATCGAACTTTCACTTTTTAAAGGGAAAAAAATACTGCCTCCACTGGCTCGAGTTACTATTCAAACCTTAGGACTAAATTGAAATATTCATTTATCCAGGGCTTTTTCCCAGTCAGGCGTTATTGGTTGAAGTCCTAATTTATTGGGGTATGAATACTTGATTATATAAACATTTCTCCATTTAATAGACCCAGCCATCCCTGTAATAGATTTTATAATTACCCTAGCTATATTGTCCCAGTGATGAAGCCGCAGTACACACACAATTTGGAAGAACATATCTGGAAAGAAAAGGGTCTCACCATTGCATCTGCTTTATGCTTCATTCGTTTAGCTTCTTGCATAAAGTAATCTGCACTTCGAGGCCTACGAGGAGAGAATGATATTAAATGTCATTATTGCTTAAGTGTAAGATCTTTTTAAAATATTCCTTCCTTTCACTCAAACTTAAGAAACAATTTAAAAACTCTGCTCAATGTGGAATTAAGTGTTTTTTATTCTTCCAATTACTGCCTATATGTAAAATACCACAATACATTTTCTCTTACGTTAGCAATTTGAAACACACTCAATATATACCAGTAGTCTATATTTATTGTGGCTTTAACATGGCCCCCTAGTGTTTAATTTGTGAATATATTTTTTACTGTACGGTTAAAAAAAACCAAGTGAGAAATCTTATTTTATTCAATATTCACATAAAACAATCTCCTTTTAATGTAAAGATTGTAAATATACCTCATAATAATTGTATGGATATATATGGGTGAGTATATTTATGTATCCTTATGAAAATAAGTATCATTTATATGCATATCTAGTACCTAGAGTTTTATGTTTATATACTGAATTATCTTAAAGCCTCACAGTGAAAAATAAAAAGAGGTAATTTAGATGATTACATTCCAGTTGTAATGAAGTTAATTGTAAAATGATATCTGCCTTGTAACAATGCAAACATGGCATGTATTCTCTAGAGTTCTGATTAGCTAGCTGGTAAACATTAACAGCAGACATCTGCATTATTAAAGCAATAACCTGGCTGGTACTGACTCTGCTGGGAGATGAAGGTAACTCATCCAGAGACTGATTTGGGTGTGTATAATCATGCCCAGTTATGCTAAGCTACCCATTCGACAGTACCCTTAAGTGTCTGGCCCGACAGATTTAAAAAGATGACATCCTTTAGGCACTGGCGACATAAACTTTATATAATCAATAAACTTGACCTATTCATGAATATCAAATATAAGCCAGGACTCTCTGAATGGAAGACATGATGAAAGTGGTGATATTAATCACGGGCTATTTAACCTATTATTACATGCTTATTTTGAACTGCCTTATTTCAGATCCTAATGGGTCTTTTACCTTTTTCTAATATTACGTAGTCAGGGTGTTCATTTATCCAAATAAGTCAAAATGCTTAAAAAAGCAATGTGTGACAATGTTTTTCTGTAACAATGACATTGCATTTAAATCAAACAAACGAGAATCACAGCATTAGTTTTGGGTCAAAATGGCTCCTCACCTCTTCCCCATGCCCCCCACTGAGGGCTGGAACTGTCCATTCATTGTGGTGGGTTTTTCACTGGGGGTGAGGCCTGCGGTCTCCTTCCTACTAAGGCCCTCCTCCTGCCACTCCATTTTCTTTCTTCCATCTCCTGGATGCCCATGCTTCCTCCATATGAATAACTTTATTGTTGCCTTGGTGAGTTTTCCTTTTGTCCACATATTGACACATATGTTCACATACTGTCTGGTCTTTGGTTCCAACTCCAGCAATTGGTGTTATTTTTGTTGTTGTTGTTTTTTGAGAGAGCTTTTCACTCTGTCGCGTAGCCTGGAGGGCAGTGATTACGATCACCAATACTGCAGCCTCAACCTCCTGTGGTTAAGCAACCCTCCCACCATAGCCTCCCAGGTAGCTGGGATTACAGGTGCATGCCACTATACCTGGCTAATTTTTTGTATTTTTAGCAGATGGGGTTTTGCCATGTTGCCCAGGCTGGTCTCGAACTCTTGAGCTCAAGTGATCCACCCGCCTCAGCCTCCCAAAGTACTGGGATTACATGGCTTTCATTTTATCACCATCCTACACATGGACCAAAAATCAATCTCCAGGGCCTATGAGATCAAATCTCAGTTCAGATCCCCAATAATCTTTCCTAACCCTCTTAACCATATTGCTTATTCATGAAGGCCTTTGGCTAAAGTCAGAGGTAGCTCCTCTTGTTGATAACATGGAATCCTGGTCTGAGGAGTTTTGCTTATCACTTCCCCCGTCTGGAACACTCTCCTCCCTGCTCATTCACTGAGTGCCTTCTATGAGTCAAATGTTACCTGCCCCTCAAATTCTTCTGCCATAAGGTGTTCCAAGTAACCTTGGTCCATGTTCACCTCTGTCCTTCCTGATCTCACACAACACTTCTTTGTTTACTACACTTCCGGGTGTTTCATTATCTTCTGAGCCGTACTGGGCATGTGTGCAACTTGGTAACTTGGTTGCTGGTACATTTTTAGCAGGACCATGCCACAGACTTCTTTGATCCTCCCCATTCTGGAGTTTTTGGCACACGGTAGAAGGTAAGCAGGTCCCTCTTGAATGAATGGCACTGAGTTCATTTTGAGCTTAGAAAGGAGTGGTGCCTTCCGATGAGGCGTAGCATTGCATCCAATGAGCCAGAGAGCGTCTCCATGGCAACTTGAAATTCTCCACATCATTATCTGTTCTATACTCTAGTATATAAGTTAGGTCATTTTTTTCTTGCCCTGTTTCGTCGCTAACAGATCACTACTTCAAATGCATTTGTTTTCATTAAAGGATTATTTTGGTTATAAAGCTATGGCATCTTAGTTTCCACCAGCCTTCTAAGTTACCCTTATGAATGGCAGTGGTTCACAATTCCTAATATGAGCTCCTTAATCAATATTGTGTTCATCTGCAGCATAGGAGCATATTTTTTAATCCTGATATGGAGGCTGAATCACAGAATCTCACAATAATGCATGTGGATAAGTAACACACCTAATTTTCTGATTGTATCAGAGCAACTATAATAGTAACCTGAGATGCTAATAGCATAGATACCATCTGGAGGCCACTTATGAACACATTTGTTAGAACTCTCATCTTTGCATACAATGAGGGGCTCACTATAATGAGTCACTGAAGATTGCCTGATGATTGGCCCATTTTCTCCTTTCGGGTGATTTCTAGTGCTGTACTTCCAGAGCAGATCCTTCTAAAGCCAATGGGACCAATGGGATGTCACCCAGTGTCCAGCCTTGCCACGAATGCACACTTTCACAAAGGCATCCCTTCTGACAGCAATATACAAGTCAGTAGGAAAAGTAAAATTGCTGTCACCATTGTGACAGTTATAGAATATAATATGGCAAAAGTACTAAAATTTGATCTTATCTCAGTGTTTGAACAGATTTTCCATCTATTTTTTTTTTAACATGGAAAATCTAGAGTTTTTGTTTTTCATTTAGGTAATAAAATTCTTCACACTGTTTCCCGCAGTGATGGTATTTTATGATGATACATGAGCAAACCTAATAAAAGTTTAATTAAACACCATAAATGTAACTAACTGTGAATCTTGGGCTCTTCAGAAACAGGGCTTAAGTGATATGAAAGCTAGAGCTTAGCCGCATGTATCTTTGTTATGAGAGCTCCCTCCAACAAAAGGATTCTGAGCACTTGAACAAAATAGAATGTTTTCCTTTCTTCTCTTCCCCCTCCCGCCACCCCCACCTAGAAACACACGGTCTTGGTTCTCAGCAGCATCAGGGTTTGAGCTAACCCCATATTTCTTCTGGCACAGGAATATTAAAGCAACCTTGCTTTTTGTTCTCCTTTGTGGCTGGGATAGAGTTGAATGGTCTCCCACGGAGAGCCTGGCAGACTCCTTTCTGTAATTCCTACCTCTGTGAAATGCCGCCCTCGGCAGAGCCAGCCTGTTTTGCGAAAGCTGGCAGGAATGAGAGCTCAATGTGTTTGAACAACAAGTTCCTCGGCGCGGCAGAAACTGGATGATTTTCTTAGGGAAGTTGAAACCCAAATCAGACAAATAGGCAACTGCATACCAAATGAATTCATCATCTGCTATCCGATATGTCAGCTTGTCATCTGATAAGCCCCAGAGGTGTTAATATGTCCCCAGCTTTGAGGAGAATGCATAAGAAGTAATTATTTTTAATACACAGAGTAAGTGATGACTATGGATGAGGGCACTTCAGAGTCAGGCACTCTGGGATGCTGGCACTGGCACTTCCCCATGGAAGCAGGTAGATTGTATCTGGGTAGCAAGGATTCAAACACAGCTTTTATTTCCACAACTTTGATGCTGGCTGGGGCCCCCTAGTCCCTGGCACCTGGCTTCTTCAAGGCACAAGCGGCCATTCACTATTTCTTCCAGGCCACAGGCTCCTGCAGGCGACTACTTCCTTCTCGGCTGGGCACAGAAGGCAGGGGCTACTCTGCAGGATGCCCAGGCTATGTGGGGCAGGTTTGGGTCACTGAATAAAAAGTAACTTTCTGTTGAAATGGGAAATTAGTCAATCTGATGGTTGTTTTTCTCTGAGTATGACATTTAAAATAATCTTAGAAAACCCTAAAAATGATTAGACAGCTGAGATTTCAATCCAGGAGATCTGAATGTCCTTGTTCCCCCTCACCCCTTACAAATCCTACTCCATTTCTCTGTCTCTATTTTGATCAGAACAAAATAAGCACCTGGCCTTGACACAGGGCTATCATAATGGGAGAAATTCCACATGAAGACCAATAAAGGCTTAATGATTTATCAGGAAAATAAAAAGGTGGGGTCCTGCTTTGAAAGGACTGGGAGAGGAGACCCTCAGGAGAACATGTCCATTGTAAGCCCTGGGAAGGAGTGCCTTCCCAGCTGCAATTTTACCTACTCAAGGATTTTAACTAAGTCCTTTGACTAAGTCATGCTACTAGAGACCCAACCTTTTACATATGGGCATCTTCCCATCCTCTATAAAATTAAAATCCTTATAGCTCTGAGACTGCTGTGCTAAGTACATTACAAATGTCAAGTCCCTCTTTTGCTTCCTTCCGGCCACTGCCTTCAGTGCCTAGAGTCTACAGTCAGTCTTTCCTCACCGTCGGGAGGTTCAGGTAGCCGGGCTCCTGTTACAGGCACCATGGGGACAGATGGGAGGTTTGGTGATTTGGCTATATGTGCTGATTGTGACTGACTTTAACGTGACACACAGGCAGCAGCCAGCACTTCTTCCAGGGAACGGCAGGCAGCCCTGGCACCTGGGGTTCTCTGGCTTCCTAGCACAGCAGTACAGCGGGTAGGATAGAGGAGCTGGTTTTCCAGCCAAGCATCTCACCACCACTTAGCTCTGTTCTGAGGACTTCCGTACTGAGGGCTTCATGACACAGTTGTTTGGTCTCAATTTTCCCCAGCCAAGAATTCCCCTGTCACTAATTATGACACCAAGTAACTTACAGCTCATGGCTTTGCACTAATAAGACCAGTTTCTAGGCCTCGAGTTGAATCAAGTGCTGTCATTCATTGACATACATTTTTACAGATTTGTTTTTTAAACAGAAATTTGGTAATCATACTAGTGTCACCTTAATACTGTGGCTGTCAAGTAATAAATGGTGTGCATTTACTAAATGTCAGGGGAGGAGGTGAGGTTGCACTGCCACCAATATGAGCCCGCAACGTACAAAGAACATGCTGACCTGGATCACATTTTAAAAATGAATGTTATTCTGCTTAGTTCTGTCCATATCCCAAAGGCACTAACTGGTGCCTGTTTAATTGGTAAGTAACATAGGAAAAGGGGCTTGGAAGCCCATTAATTCACATTCACCTGCATGTAGATTCTTGACAGTCACAGAAAAAAAACTGCAGGCACTCTCCCCTGGGAATGTAATTTATAATTCAGCTGGGTTCATTCAACACTTGTTATTGAGAGCCTACTGGCTTCAGCTGTTGCCTGAATCTCATGTTTATTCAACCATTAACAAGTATTTATAATACAAAGAGATGAGTTTACTTTTTTAAAAAAGCTGCATGATTTGGCTTTAAAAATTAAATGACAGTGTGGCATCTGTTACTTTTTGGATCACTGTAACTGGATTTCCATCAATTCGAAATCACTCCAGTGCTAATTATCTAGTCCTTTCTTTTCTCCCACTGATGGTCTCTCTTTGGTCATTTCACTGGTTGTTTCACATAGGGCTGAAGTTCACTCTTCACCTTCAGTGAAGAGAAGTCAAGGAAAGGGACACGGGCTGAGGTCTTCCTCTCTCACTGAGGGTGCTGGTGGGGAAGCTGGCACGGAATGGAGATGGGCAGGGAGGAGGCGGAGAACTGAATTTAGTAATCCTACGAAACTTTCCTGCAGAGGTCACCACGTGCCCCTCTCTTCCCTGAAGAACCGAAAATTAATTAATCATTATACTTTAGCTCTTGCACCTGTACTTGGCTCTTAGTAAGTGCTCCAGACATACCAAGTGGAACCTGGGAGATGTTTTGCACAATTTTAGGTGACATCCTAGCTCAGTGATCTCTTGAAGATTGCTTGTTTTTACTGTTTAAAGAAGAGATGATGCCTATTTTTTCTCTTTTTCTTTTTTTTTTTTTCTGAAATGGAGTTTCACTCTTGTGGCCTGATTGGAGTGCAATGGTGCGATCTTGGCTCACTGTAACCTCCACCTCCCAGGGTGAAGTGATTCTCCTGCCTCAGCCTCCCGAGTAGCTGGGACTACAGATGCATGTCACCATGCCTGGCTAATTTTTTTTTTTTTGCATTTTTAGTAGAGATGGGGTTTTACCATATTGGCCAGGCTGGTCTCAAACTCCTGCCCTCAAGTGATCCACCCACCTTGGCCTGCCGAAGTTCTGGGATTACAGGCATGAGCCACCATGCCCAGCCTGTTTTTGCATTTCAAGCTTGAAGAATCTTTCCACAACTTGCTTAGTTCGATGGTTGAGTGGCTGTTTGAGTTGCATATTTATTTTCCTGTTATGGATTTCAAGTCAGCTGGGACACATGGCAATTGGAACACAACATCTATCTCTCCATATGATGGATATGTAACAGTGCTTTTTAATTCTATTCTATCTACATGCATAAAAGGAGAAACAGTTTTATTGTAGCTGTCAGCCAGGAAAATTATACATATTGCTAATGGGAAGAACAAATGATAACAGCCTCTTTGTTGACACAGATAGTGACAAAATTATGTTAGTTTTAGCCATAGCAGATTGAGAAACATTTCCTCTTATAAAAAGTCCAAGGACTGCCAGCCGTGGCAGCTCATGCCTATAATCCAGCACTTTGGGAGGCTAAGGTGGGAGGGTTGCTTGAGGCCAGGAGTTAAAGACCAGCCTGGTTAACATAGTGAGACATTATTTCTCAAAAAAAAAAAAAAAAAAAAAAATTAACTGGGTGTGGTAGCATGCACCTGTAGACCCAGCTACTCAGGAGGGTGAGGTGGGAAGATAGTGTGAGCCCAGGAGTTTGAGGCTGCACTGAGCCATGATAAAACTACTGCACTGAACTCTAGCCTGGGTGACAGACCAAGATCTTATCTCAAAAAAAAAAAAAGTCCAGTACCTACAGATCAAAGTATAATTATTTAGTTGTTGCTGTTTCTGACTTAGCTTTCTGGTTCATACACTGGAAAATTCCTTGCATTTTAATGTTACATATGAGTTTGTATTTTTTATATATACACACACATACACTATGCTAAATTCCTCGGATTTTTAATCTTACATATTTGTTTGTATTTTGTATATGTGTGTGTGTGTGTGTGTGTGTATGTGTATGTGTGTATATATATACACACATACACATACTATGGCCTCAAATCCATCCAGTGCAAGTATGTGGTGTTTTGAGCACCTCAGGGTCTAATGCTTCTTCTGTTTGATCATGTTGTTGGCTTATGACTTCCAAATGCAAATTTCTATGTTATCCTTATATACAATTCTAATATCTTATTTCCACAAATGGCTGAAGTTCACATGAACCATTTATATCCCTGAACTCTAATTATAAATGAAGTTGACCACCTGACTGTAGTTCCATTCCATGCCCTCCCTGGGGATTAATCACCACCTATCTCCGTGGCTGCCTGGCAAGGGCAATTCAGACAGTGAGAGGAAGGAGGGTGGTGAGGGGCAGGAGTGTACGTGGGGTGGGACACAGCTGCTGCCACAGGAAGAAAAGAAACACACACGCCCTCCTGGGCTGTCCTCAAGCTTTCCTAAAACCCAGTTACCTGGAATGTATTGACTTAACAAAACAAACAACAAATGAGGATTTGGCTTTTACCCCCAAAACTCTGTGCCCCAAATAGCCTACAGGAGTCCACGCAGTACTTGAAAACTACAACATAGTATTTTAAATTTCCCAGGGAAGTGTGCAGAGGTGGATAAATAGATCATGCCGAGACTGGGTGGCAGCTAGGGATGGAGGATTGGGGTGGATGATGAGGCTGAGGTAGCCACCCCTGCACAGTGCCTTCTGTGCTCACGTGGTATCCCTTAGGAGATAGCATTTAATGGATCCTAGGAGGGCCTGCCGAGGGAGTTGTGCCATTTGCCACTGGACTCTCAGACATGTAGAACCATTTTATTTTCTGACTTCCTGTGGGGTTAGTGGCTGGTAGTCTGTCTCCTCAGCTGGACTGGAAGCCCTCAGAAGGCAGGAGTGCTTACTTCTGCAGCTGCTCCACCCCTGGGCTGAATTTATCCTGCCTCACCCAGCCACGTATTTGATGCCCATAGGACAGCTAAAGCCGAAGATGATTCAAGCTGAGTATCTCCTGCCTTCCAGGCTTATCCCTGACACATATATTTTCCCTAAGAGCCAAAATAATTTTCAGCATCATTTTATCATTTCTCATTTGTCATTTTCAGCCTCTTGAGAGCATTCCAGGACATTATTTTTATTCATCTTCTCCTCTTGTTTCTCCTCCTTTTAAAATGATGCTGGGAATGGAAGTTATACTTGGGTGAAACTGAAAGTGCTAGAATTGGGTGAAGGATGATGGCATTTTTTTCCACTGTAAGAATCATTTATACTATTACAAAGAATATAGCAGTTGGGGGAAAAAAGCTTTCAGTAGTAAATCACTATTATTCGTTGCCTATTATAATTTACAAAAACAACAATGCTTCTCTTTCTAGTAGCATAAAACTGCCAACAGCCCACAGTACAAGCGCTTAGAAGTGTAAGACTCATTAATGCTATTTGCCTTTGTTTTCTGATGTCCTGGATCCAACCCCATTAGGACTGATTATTCCGTCTGCCCAAAATCCCCAACAGGACGCAGGCATGCACTCAAAATGAAGGCTCCAATTTCCTTTGAGAGGGACATTTAAATAACCAAGTCCCAGGGGGGACAAAAAGGCCACACTGTAGCTGAATGTGGCCACACCAAGGTGCCCGAGCCCTTTCCACCTGAGCAGCTTCTGTTCTGTCTTGCCCCTCACCATATTAAAGATGAACTTACATATCATCGAAGATAAGTTTCTGTCTCTTGCAGTCCCTGTGGCCGCTGGAGCCTGGAGACCACGGCTCTGTCTGTGGCCGTGACTTGTGGAGGGGAATGTTTTCGGAATTGTTGTGAGCTGCTTTCTAAACAACAAACAACATACAAGTCTTTGAGAAACTGGCCACCTGGTGAAGCGAGCAGCCCATTACTTACATACGTACACACATACATATGTACATACCTACTTACCTACATACATACATAGAATATCTTTGTGCTCTGTATTAGAATTGATGGTGATTTTGTCTCAATAAAGAAACATATGCATTCTAGGTATTAAGCTGCGGGCTTCTACATGTATTCTCAACTATCATTCTCATGACGCTATCAAAAGGGAAGTCATGACATCCACTCACACAGATCCAGAAACAGGCTTGGTGAGGTTCAACAACTTGCCCACACTCAAACAGTAACTGTGGTGGGGGCCAAGGCTTTGGGTGTAGACGCCTACTTTCCCCAGTCTGCTAGACTGGGGACTGGCCAGTTCAGTTTTCATCAGCGTCCTCCAGGGGGCAGGTGAAAACACAGATTGCTGGGCCCCAGCCTGAGAGTCTGGGATTCAGCAGGGCTAGGTGGGACCCTAGAATCTGCCCTTCTATCTGGTTCCTGGTGATGCAAATGCCGAGATCACCTGCGACTCTGGAACTACGCTTTCAGAACCATTCACCAACACTGCCTCTAGCAGAAGAGAAGTCACTCAGCTCACAGGCTTGCTGGCTCTCCCTGGCTGTCTGTGAAGACCAGAAGGAGTCAATGGGAACCACTAGGAATTACTTAAAAAATATATTTTAGGCCGGGCTTGGTGGCTCATACTTGTAATTCTCAGCACTTTTGGGAGGCCAAGGTGGGCGGATCATCTGAGGTCAGGAGTTCAAGACCAGCCTGGCCAACATGGCAAAACTTCATCTCTACTAAAAATGCAAAAATTAGCTGGGCGTAGTTGTGGGTACCCTATAATCCCAGTTACTCGGGAAAAGCTGAGGCATGAGAATCGCTTGAACCCAGGAGGCAGAGGTTGCAGTTTGCCAAGATCGCACCATTGCACTCCAGCCTGGGAAATAAGAACAAAACTCCATCTCAAAAACAAACAAACAAATATATATATATATAATGTGTTACATGTGATATATATGAGGAACACATTAGTCTGTGGAAAATTTTTAAAAAACACATTACTAGGGATACAAACATTTACATGGCACCTATTGTGTGCTAAACACATGGATCATAAAACCACAGTCTGTGGTTAGGAAATGCAAATGGCTTCTCTGAAGTAATTAAAATTGAGTGTATACAAATGCTTCTTTAAATATGGACTGCTTTTATGTGTAACACTGTAAGGGTTAGAGTCTACTGTTACAGAAGACCAGGAAACTCAGATGTCAACATTTTAAAACTGTTCTTAAACTTCTCCAGTGGTGTCTGCCTGCTCTTGGGAAAAGCAGCAATCTCAGCCAAGCGGCCCCTCAGCCATGCTTGCCTGTGGACTCTGCCCCAGACTCAGGGGCCGGTGTCCAGTTCTTTCTCTGGACCTCTGCACTTGCTGCTTCCTCCGCCTGTAATGCTCTTTGCCTTTCACTATGTGGCTACTTGCCTTTTAGAGATCTTGTATAAGGGTCAGCAATCTATGACCGGGAAGTCAAACCTGGCCCTTTTTGTAAAGACAATTTTCCAATCCTGTCTATGTATTCATCTACTGTCTGCTTTCCTGCTACAATGGCAAAGGTGAGTAGCTGGGATGGAGACAGTGCAGCCCATAAACATTTAAGTTATTTATTGAACTCTTCACAGAAGCAGTTCTCAACTGGGGGCAAGTTGACAATGCCTGGAGACATTTTTAGTTGTCACCAGTGCGAGTAGGTGCCCATAGCACCTACTGGGTGGAGGCCAGGGATGCTGCCAAACATCCTACACTGCGCAGGACAGCCCCACCACAAGTAATTACTCAGTCCAAAATGTCAAAGCCTGCTTCGCAAAAAAAAGTCTGCCACTCCAGGACTAACTCAAGCCTCTGGTGAATCATGGATGTGTGTGATTCCCTGTCTAAGGCTCTCTCCCCCGCCAAACGTAAGCTTCATGTGGGCACAGATGGAATCTTCCGGATTGTTATTGCATCTCTGGTGCTCAGCACAGTGCCCGGCACGTTAAGTATTTACTGAATAAGCACCTGTTTGGTGAAGAGTAACTAAATAAAATGTATATTTGGTTTACAGTTTTCTGCATATCAAAGTTGCTCATTACATAAGGATATAGAGGCAAATAAAAAACCATGAATTGGTGGCTTTTTGTTCCATGTTTTTCTAGTATAGGTCTTCCCCAATTATTTCAGTCTATAATTAAAGACCACTGCTCCCAGTGAGGGTGTACAAGGAAGTTCCTGAGGATGTTGTAAGATTTAAGCTCTTGTGAGCACTTCCTGCAACTTTTAATAGTCTTTAATTCATGGATAAAGTGTTATACACTGCTCCCTCCGTCATCTTTCTTTGCAGAGTCCTGTTCTTAAGTCTCATATCACTCCCTGCCTTACAAAGCCCAGTTAGTTTGTTTTTTTTTTAATGATGGAGTCTTGCTCTGCTGCCCAGGCTGGAGTGCAGTAGCATGATCTCAGCTCACTGCAACCTCCACCTCCCCAGTTCAAGTGATTCTCCTGCCTCAGCCTCCTGAAGAGCTGGGATTACAGGTATATGCCACCATGCCTGGCCACCTAGCTGGTTTTGATAGGCACAGTGATTACCACAGGGGAGGGTGTGGAAGTAACTGATGTTCCTGAAAGGATGAGTGGTCCAGGGCCAGCACGGAACTAACATGTAGTGTTAATTGCATAGGTGACCCTAGGTGTTGGAGTCTTTTTTTCTTGAGACAGTCTTGCTTTGTCGCCCAGGACGGAGTGCAGTGGTGAGATCTAAGCTCACTGCAACCTCCGCCTCCCAGGTTTAAGCAATTCTTGTGCCTCAGCCTCCTGAGTAGCTGGGAGTACAGGTGCCCGCCACCACATCCTGCTAATTTTTGTATTTTTAGTAGAGACAGGGTTTCACCATGTTAGCCAGGCTGGTCTTGAACTCCTGACCTCAAGCGATCCACCCACGTCAGCCTCCCAAAGTACTGGGAATACAGGCATGAGTCACCATGCCCGCCCAGGGTCTTTTCATAATATTGTCTCTTTTAAATTTTATCACTACCATTTTGCAGGTAAAGAAACAGGAGCAGAGAGATTAAGCAACTGGCCCAAGATCACACTGTAGCTAAGAGGTGAGGTCAGACTCTGAACCCAAGTCCCTTGCTCTTCCCCTGGGGTGTGCTGGAATCACCAGTGAGATCACTGGAAAAGGGGTGGTGGTAGGGGTCCCCCACTGTGGCTGAGACACTGGCCAACAAACATAAAGTGGGGGGCCTGTAGATTTTGGTGTGGGGTTTTAATCCCAGATTTAACTCTGCCCTGGGGTAAGAAATATTTCCCAATAGAAAGGTTGGTTGGTTCAAACTCCTAATTTACTTCGTTGCGGGATGGCATATTACTTTTAGGTCTTCTCTTTACAGAAGGAAAAACGAAATCCTGCCTAAGCAACAGAGGCTTAGAACTCCCCCTAAGGGTTCTTCTTTCCCCGCTCTGTTGTGAGGGTAAAGGGGGCTGTCCTCTGCTGAGTCTTGCTAGAAGTGGGCTGCATTCAGGAATTCTCAAGGGACCTCAAGCATGTGTTCGGACTGTGCTAGGTTAGAGACAGAGCTCAGGGGTGCTCAATTTCATTTTGGTTTCAATTAGGAAAGGAAGAGCATCAACGAACCGTGAGGTCTCCACCGTGAGGCTGCAGCTGGCTGTCGGCCTTCGGCTTTTTGCTGGAAGAGGCTGAAGTGAAGAAGCTGTTGCCATTAGGTCGGCTGGAAGAAGTGAAGTCCTCGCTGGTGTATTTGTGTTTAGATGCATCAGAGAGGGGTGAGATGGGCGACCGAAGCGTTTTTTCATTTTTATTTATTGGTATTGCCACGCTGAAAAAGGAAATTATAGTAATGGAATGTCACAGAGTTAGCACGGGGAAAGGTAAATGTTTTCATATGAGCCAAACCACCCAACTGGGACCTGCTGGTAGGAGAAGCTTATTGGGAATTATTATACCAGGAAACAAGTTAATGGCATTAGGACTATAACAAACAATAAGCAAATGTCACTCATTGTTTCTTTTCTTTATCAGGATGAATAGTAATTCTGGAGCTAGGACCAAAGAACATGACTAAGAATAACACTTTCATTTTCCAAGTTCTTTATCCAAGTATCTCAAAATACCCAACAAACAACTTACTGTTTCCCTAACAATCATAAGCGACAAGCAGTGGGAAAGTCAATCAACAACAATAAATACATTCTACATTTCTTTTTTTTTTTTTAATTTTCTGAGACAGGGTCTGGCTCTGTTGTCCAGGCTAGAGAGCAGTAGCCGGATCTTGGTTCACTGTAGCCCTAACCTCCTGGGCTTGAGCAATCCTCCCACCTCAGCCTCCTGAGTAGCAGGGACAATAGATATGCACCACCACACCTGGCTAATTTTTCATATTTTTTGAAAAGTTGGGGTTTCACCATGTTGTCCAAGCTGTTCTTGAACTCTTGGACCCAAGGTGCCTCAGCCTCCAAAGTGCTGGGATTACAGGTGTGAGCCATTGTGCCTGGCAGAATTCTATATTTCTTTTTATTTTTTGAGATGGAGTTTCGCTCTTGTCACCCAGGCTGGAGTGCAATGGCATGATCTCGACTCACTACAATCTCCGCCTCCCAGGTTCAAGGGATTCTCTTGCCTCAGCTTTCCAAGTAGCTGGGATTACAGGTGTCTGCCACCACACCTGGCTAATTTTTGTATAGCAGAGACGAGGTTTCACTATGTTGGCCAGGCTGGTCTTGAACTTCTGACCTCAGGTGATCCACCTGCCTTGGCCTCCCAAAGTGCCAGGATTACAGGCCCGAATTCTACATTTCTAAAAAGACTTCTGCTCTCTTATCTGAGCTTGTACTAAATATTATATAGAAACTAATAAAACCAGAGAACAACCTGCAATATGTGAAGCCAATTCTTAATATGTGAGTTTACGACTTAACCAGGGATTGGTCAGATTAAACCTAGAATATAAAAAGGATGAGAAGTTATAGTTTCTGATTCCTCACTTCTTATTTTATCTTCAAAACTACTGTCTGTGCTTGAATATAACATTCTCCAAAATCAACCATCATGAAGAGGGATTCACTTATATTTGAGTTTGCAATGTATATTACATTGTTAGGGCTGTATTACTTTAAAGAAGTATTGTTTGGGGAAGACAGATTAGTCTGAAATAAACTTAGTCATTGCTAATTTAGGATAATTATAGAGGTCAACTGGTAGAGTCCATTAAAAAAATGGTAAAGACATCTAACAAAGATTTACTTATTATTCTTGGGGTTGGTCTCTCTTAGCTGCATGTATTGGTTGTCACTGCAAACAAGCCATTAAAGTCACTTCAAAAAGTAATTTCCTTAGCTGGTGGTCACTGTGGAGAAATCACAAACACAGGCCTCTAGAACAAATGACAAAACCCCGCTTCTTAATATTATACAAACGGATACATGTGGGGATAGAATTTCTGGGGATAGATTTCTGGTTCCAAAAGCACTGTGTGTCTAACAACAAGAGAGGATGTGTTATGCAAAAGTGCTCTGGGAGAATCAAAAGTTGCTCATCTACTGATGGCGAAAATGCTGATGTTGAAGATAATGTGGACAGCTTGAGAAACGAATTGTTTTTCGAAATGTGGTAAAAAAAGACCTTTTCCTTGGTTTCTATTATTTGACATACTTCATGATTTTTACAGTTCATGGAAAACAAAACTATGATATTAAATATTATGATGGACATCATATGATGGCCCTTTTTTCATCACTGCAGGTTTATATATACATTCAAGTTGACCAAAGAAACTCCCTTTGGAGCTCTTCTTTGAAATTGGCAATCTCCTTCTCTGGGATTGGTGTACAGCACTGGTAAAACTTGATAGTAGTAATCACTATTCCAGAGGTATGCAGACCATCTTTCCCAGAAAGAACTCTAAGTACTTTTGCATCCAATGTGTTACTACTTAAAATAAATAAAACCATCAGAACTAGCCAGGCTGTCTCTAGAGCAAGAGTTTTTTAACCTAGGGTCCAATAACTTGAATGGAGACATGACCACTTCATTTTTACTAACCTCTCACTGAAATAGAACATTTCCTTCAACTATGAGTAAAGGTATGAAATCAGAGTCATGGTTTGGCAGGAGTATAAGTATTAACACTTGTGATTGTGTCACCAGTAGAAATCACTCACAGCTATTTTTGTTTTTTTGAGACAGAGTTTCCCTCTGTCACCCAGACTGGAGTGCAGTGACGCAATCTTGGCTCACTGCAACCTCTGCCTCCTAGGTTCAAGTGATTCTCCCGCCTCAGCCTCCTGAGTAGCTGGGACTACAGGTGCGCGCCCCCAATGCCTGGCTAATTTTTAATATAATTTTAGTAGAGATGGGGTTTCATCATATTGGCTAGGCTCCTGACCTGTGATCCGCCCACCTCAAAGTGCTGGGATTACAGGTGTGAGCCACTGCACCCAGCCAAATCACAGCTATTTTCATATCATATTGCAGTTGTGCAGATATATGGTTTATATTCCTCACTGCTAAGAAATTATGGAAGCCACTGGATCGGCTAGAAAGGTTATTTAGTGCATTAACAAGCACATACCTAATAATATCAGACATTTAAAAATATTTTGGGACCACATTTTCCCCATTTCCCCTTTCCTAATATTTTGGGCTGCCATCCACCCTGCACAGAGGACTGAGGAGTGGGCAGCGTGCAGGGGCAGCCCTTGCCTTCCTTCCAAGGTGATCCTGCACTGCAGTGGGCCTGCATGTGTGCACCCTCGCTCTCCAATTTCCTTGCTGAGTTTTAGCACCGCTCTACATCTTTTCCTAACCTTTCAGTTTTCATTTTTATGTGTTGTGCTGAGACATTCATCTCCCTCTAAAATTCTATGTATATGGTCAGGGAGGGTGAGGAGTGTCTTAGAGAGGAAAAGTGGTTTCCGTCCTGTGGTATTTCAAAACAGAAAGAGCTTCTATGACTGATAAGCTACTCGTTTCTAATAAATACCTGGGATCTTGCCTTGCTAGCAAGCCATTTATCACAGAGGGGATTCAGTGTTGGGTGGGTCCATCTGGAACCCCTTAAGAGGAGTGTCTGGGTGGCCATTTAACCTTGGGAGCATGGACTCTTCTAAAACCACAATTTTAGTCGATATCCAATTAATTGCTTTAGGTGCTCCACATGGAGATTCAGCTTGAAGTGTGTTTTTCTTCATCTGTGTAATAAGCTTAGTGTTCTTATGAGTTTAGCGGTTGCCATTAAAATACTGATTTGAAATTCAGTTATTAAGCTTTTTTGGGGGGAAGGGCATATCTTGGGGAGTGCAGAGCTGTATGTAACTAGTAGCTTGTCTTTGGTTATGGACAAGCACCCTGCATGACTATCGGGAGCTACAATGTGAGGCATTGTGTAGCCATAATAATAAGATTTGGGTTAAAGGAGGGAGGCAAGTCTGCAGACCTAGACCAGAGCAGTCTTCAAAAAGCCAGACCCTCCTCCAACACAGCAGGTGACTTTCAGACCCAGAGATCCCTCCAGCTCACTTCCACCTTGGAGGAAACGCACGTACCTGTTGATGTTCATGTTGCAGTGGTTTGCAGACAAAGTATTACTGGCGGAGGTGGCCAGTCTTGAAGAGCTCTCTTTCTCTCCCTGGGCCTTCTTGATCTCCCTGTAGTCGTCTTCGACGTCACACTGTTTGGGAATAAGCTAAAGTCAATCAGCTCTGGATTTCAAGAGGTCATTATGAGCTCCCAGGCACCAACTTCCACAGAGCGAGGCCTCCTGGGAAACCCACTCACCCAGCTTCCCTGAAGAGCAGCCTGCACAGCTGTGCCCCTGCCATAGCTTCCCCATCAGCTCCTCAACTGATGAAATCTGTTGGTTTTACAATTAACAGCTGCTGGAGAGGCAAGGCACGACATGACACCATGATTCAACATTTTGGGAATTCTGAACACTGCTCTGCTGTCAATGGGCCCAGAATTTAGGCCTCCCAAAGCAGCCCTGGTCTGTTTCCACTGTAGCTCCAATGGCACTTACCTTCGCATTTCTTGGTATCAGAATAAGGTACAGCAAGTGTGTGTTCTCTGGAATTCATGCCGTAAGGGCAGTGGTACATTTGGACTTTTCTGCTTTAAAACTTCTTGCCTCTTGGCCGGGCATGGTGGCTCATGCCTGTAATCCTAGCACTTTGGGAGGCCAAGGCAGATGAATCACGAGGTCAGGAGTTTAAGACCGGCCTGGCCAACATAGTGAAACCCCGTCTCTACTAAAAATACAGAAAAATTAGTGGGGCATGGTGGCAGGCACCTACCATTGCACCCTAGCTGGGGCGACAGTGCGAGACTATCTCAAAAACAAAAAAATCTTGCCTTTTGTGATCTGCAAGCAGAGGCTGTTATCTCTTGGTGCCTTAATTCTAGTTTGCAATTACTATCCCATGACATCTTAGAATCCATAAAGTACCTTTTTCTAAACAGTACTTTGATTGGATCCTTGTTGCCATGATCGTGTTTAATTTTATTTATTTATTTAGAGATAAGAGTTTTCCTCTGTCACTCAGGCTGCAGTGTAGTTGTGTGATCTTGGCTCACTGTAGCCTCGACCTCCCAGGCTCAGGCGATCCCCCTGCCTCAGCCTCCAGAGTGGCTGGGACTGCAGGTGTGTGCCACCAAGCCTGGCCAATTTTTTGTATTTTCTTTTGTAGAGATAGGGTTTTGCCATGTTGCTCAGGCTGATCTCAAACTTCTGGGCTCAAGTGATTCTCCCACATTGGCTTTCCAAAGTGTCCGGATGGCAGGCGTGGGCTATCAGGCCAGCCCGTGTTTAACTTTAGATGTGTTAGGGTGCAACACGAATATGTTCAGAAAGTTCCATTTTCCATGAGATAGCAGGAACCTAGTATGGTATCCTCAGGGCTGTCTGTAGTGTTTTCCAGGAGACAAGCGCCAGCACCAAAGAGAGAAAGACTGACCTTCTTGCTCTGACTGGGATTTTGCCACACAGCCTCTGCCACAGGGGCTCCCAGATGCCCACATTGCCCAAATTAACTCCAGGGCTCCAGCAGGGTGAGACTCCACAAGCTTGACAGCCAGGTCTACAGGGTCCCATCTCCAGCACCCAGTACTGGGGTATTAATGCCCAGAATACCAAGTAAAGAGCACTATAAAAATGTTCTTTCACTTCTCTTGTGTCTGTGTTTAATGATGATTCATTAGATTTTATGAGTACTGCCAGGTGTCAGGCTTAGTATAAATGAAGTTTTTTAAGATAAAAATGGCCATAAGTAATACAACTATTTAAATACAGTTTATTATGGAATTTTATGTACATCTTTCTGCACATCTCTTTCTCTCTAGCAAACTCTGTATGCCTGGGCAGCTACATATATTTCCCATCTGTCTATATGTTACCAATGTCTGTCGCTGCATATTTCATGTATATGTGTATTTCTATCAGTCTATTCATCTAGCCATCCATCCCAGAGGTAACAGCCACACTCATTCCCAGATGATTAACTGATTGATTTCCTATGCTCAACAAAGATTGAGCACCAGCAAGTAATAAGGAAGACAGGGTGTACAGAGAAAAACCGCAGGAGGAACAGCGGGTAGGGAATAAATGAGCTGACATGTGTTACTGACTTCCATTGCTTGAACATATTGTGTGAATCTGACAACACCTCTGCAAAGATGTCAGCATTTTCTACATGGAGAAATTGAAGTTCAGAGAAAGTAAGGTCACCTGATTAAGGTCACTCAGGAGGCCAAGGACCCTACATAATTTTCTGGGTCTAGTGCAAAATGAAAATGCTGGGCCCCTTGTTCAAAAAGCAAGAAAAAAGTGATGTTATAAAGCCCTCAACTAGAAAACATTTTCCCTTCTTTCAGTCTCTGTCATGGGGGTGTCTACACTATTTGCTATATGTGTTGTACTTCTTTGGGCATTGGGATACCTGAGGATGGGGGGTGAGTGTAGCCTCTTAAGAGCCAAGTCTGCCCTGGGACGAGGCATAAGTGTGCAGCCCACCAGTGTGGGTCTTCCCCTCCTGCCAATCAGAGGCCCTGCTTATGGTGCCCGAGTCCAGTCAGGCATTTCCCCAACAACCCACAGTGAATGGGCAGCCACCAGGGTATTGCAAGACCCCCTTTGGAATGTCTCACTACCTGGATCAAGGTTGGCCAAGAGCTGTCCTATGCCTGCACCTAGGCCCTTCTTGGGGTGAGGGCAGCAATGGTCACTGGACTAAGATGGGAAGGGGGAGACTGTCTAGGGCCCGGGGTGGCAGGAGGTGGAAGGGCAGGCAGAACCTGCCCTGCAAAAACAGGCAGTAGGTGGGAACACATAGATTCAAAGTTCCATATGCCCCTGCACATGTGCCATTAATTTGCGGCATCATGAACTGAAAGATAAAATGAAAAATTTCAAGACGGCAGCCATAAGCATTCAACTCCAAGGGGCCCTGTGTGATGCACACCAGTGTGGTCCCATGCATTAGGCCCATGAAAAGCTGACCCTATAGGAGGTAAATGGTAAAGATGGGATTTGAGGTCAGGTGACTTTGGTTTGAAAATCCACATACTTTCCATTAGATGTGAGCACTCTCAGGGCAATGGGAACCAACCATGGGCACCCGCTGCAGACTAATGGCCACTGCTGGGTGGAAACTATGTTGGGATCTCTTTATAAAATTATCTTTGCATCCATACCAAGGAAAAACAAAAAGCTGCCTCTTGGCGATATTTCTTTTCATGAGCTTTCTTGCAAGGGCTTCAAATTCTACTTTATAGGGATAAATTAGTTAATGTTATTAATACTACGTGAAGAAACACATCCTTTGTTATTTTATTTTTCATATGATTTATTTATATATTTTGAGGTGGAGTCTTACTTTTGTCCAGGCTAGAGTAAAGTGGCGTGGTCTTGGCTCACTGCAACTTCTGCCTCCCAGGTTCAAGTGATTCTCCTGTCTCAGCCTCCCAAGTAGCTGGGACTACAGGTGTGCACCACCATGCCCGGCTAATTTTTTGTATTTTAGTAGAGATGGGGTTTCACCATATTGCCCAGGTTGGTCTCGAACTCCTGAGCTCAGGCAATCTGCCCACCTCAGCCTCCCAAAGTGCCAGGATGACAGGCGGGAGCCACCATGCCTGGCCTGGATTTTAGAATAAATTTCTCTGGTCGTAGGTGCCCTTACGTCACAAAGATGATTGTCATAAAAAAGTTAGACTGAACACGTATGTTTCACAGCTATTCCGAATCCCTGATTGAGAGGGGGACTAAGGAGTACAGCTTGTTACCTTGTCCTGGCCACAGTGAATGTATTCCTCACTTTGTAAGTGTGCATGGAAAAGGCACAGTCTCCTTTTTTATGACAATCATACTTGTTCAGTCTAACTTTTTTACTGATAAGACTAGGCTGCCTTTAGAAAACTGGAAAATATACAAACCTCAGACTGATTTCTTATTGTGACACTTTGAAGCCAAACAGCCTGGGTTCATTCCTGGCTCAGCCCCTTAGGACCTACACAACCTTGGGCAAATTGCTTTAGGGCCTCTGAGCCTCAGTTCCCTCTCTGTAAAATGGGTTTGACAATAATATTTGCCTCATAAAGTTATAAGGATGAAATGATTTAACATGTATAAAGTGTCTGGAGCAGCACCCATCATGGGGACCTATATACCTGTGAGCTGTTGTTACTGAAAACTTTGTCCTAAATTTGGAGCCATCCATGAGTACTGAGATCTTGGTTTGTCACCTGCTATATTTTTCACTGTGGTAAAAATTACTTTTGGAGATACATTAACAGGAGGGGTTAAAAATCCTCAAAATTGGCTTTAATGGGTGATTAAGGCATTCCCCTGTGCAAAAACCTTTGAAATGGGCTGTGCGTTCAGTGTCTGCTGCCAGAGACGCCCCACAGCTCTGCCTGTCCTTGTACTGCCTTCTCACTCCCTGGTCTCTCCGCTTCCATTCCTGAGCCTGGATGTATTCAAATATCTCTCCTCTTCAGAGCCATTTTCAGGGCCCCTCCACCATGAAGTTCTCCTTGATCAATGCCAAGGAAGGCAACAGGTACTGGTTCTGATGCTGCATCAGGGTCTGCTGTATTCATTTTCACCTGCCACAGCCTTGAACTTCGTGAGGCCACTGGCTTTTTGAGTCAGTGAGTGATCCCATCATCAATGTCATCTCATCCCATTCCTCCCGGCAAAGAGTGGGGTTCTTCATGTGTTTAGCTTTCTCACAGGCCCTGCATGCAGCTGCATGTGCACACACTAGATAAATATTTTCTATTTTGACATGCAGTGGGACAAGGCTTAATTGTCTATAACTATAAAATAGGGATAATAGGCTGGGCACGGTGGCTCATGCCTGTAATCCCAACACTTTCGGAGGCTGAGGCGGGTGGATCACCTGAGGTCAGGAGTTCAAGACCAGTCTGACCAACATGGTGAAATCCCATCTCTACTAAAAATGCAAAAAAATTAGGTGGGGGTGGCGACAGACGCCTATAATCCCAGATACCTGGGAGGCTGAGGTAGGATAATCAGCTGAACCTGGGAGGCAGAGGTTGCAGTGAGCAGAGATCGTGCCATTGCGCTCTAGCCTGGGCAACAGAGCAAAACTCCCTCTCAAAAAATTTTTAAAAAAGGATAATAATAGTACTTCCCTCACTGAGTAGTTAGTTCTAAGGAGTCACCCAGATTAGATGTTAACTGCTTACAACAGTGTCTGGATATAGAAAGTACTCTAGAAGTGTGTGTTAGGTAAGGACGCACAGAACTCCTGCGGCAGCCTTTGGTTCCAACCAGCAGCCTGTGAGTGCTCTGCCCCGCTTCCCCTCCATGCCCCGCCGCCCAAGTCAGCCCCAAGCCTACCTTGCGTTTTCTCTTGGATTTTGGCAAAGTCTTTTCTGCAGGAGTGTCCGAGGTGTGGCTGGGTGGTACGCTCTCGGAGTCCTTGGTGGCAGGGGCGCTCAAGACCCCTGGCTCCTGGGGCAGGTGTTCTGGGATCCTGGACAAGAGGGTCAGGTCGATTTTGACCCAGAGAGACCTGACCTCATCACTGTCCTTTAGAGGGGAGAGAAGTTCGTTCCGGCCAAAGGGGACCAGCGTGTAGAACTGCTCCTCCAGCTCCTTGGCGATGTCACTGGTGGTCCTGGCGTTGATGGAGCCTACAGGGGCCCTGGGACCAGTGCCCCCGTTGGCAGCAGCCTCCTTCAGCCTCTGGTCGTTCCCGGAGGAGGCAGAGGCAGCCACGGCCTGTGCTTTGGACAGAGGGTACTCCTCCTGCTCGGACTCCAGGTCGGAGTCCGAGGAGGAGGACGAAGATGACGACTCTGTCTCAATAAACTCCTTGGATTTGGGGACGATCCTGCTCAGGCCCCGTGTGCGGCGCTTCTCACAGGTCACGGAGGAGCGCAGCTCCTTGCGGTGGCTCGCTCTGCTGTTGCCGCAGGGCCTGGTTTTGGTGGGCTCTGGGGGGACCACCACGCTCGCCCCCAGCGCGTCCGCGGGCGCGGGCTCCTCGGGCCGGTGGCAGTTGGCGCCGTCCCCGGCCGAGGTCCTCTCAGTGCGCCTGGTGGGCTTCTTGCCCGCTGACCTCCGGGCGGGCGCGGTTGCGTTCTCCGTGGGCGCACAGGGCACTGCGGGCGGCGGGGCGGCTGCGCTCACCGCCACGGCTACGGCCGCGGGCGGGGACTTCTGCTTCACGCCTTTACTCCCAGGGGCCTTGTTCGCTGTCCTCGGCCTCTGCTCCTCCTTGCAGGTGCTCTTGATCTCCTTCTCCCTCAGGCTGGGCTGGCAAACGTCGGGGAGTTTCCCACAGTCCTGGACATCCTCTTTCACTGGGTTGTAGTACTGATTGCTCTCTGGCCCGTGGCTTTCATTTTGGATCAGAATAGGAGGCTTGTGGGGATTAACTTTGTTTAGCCATTTATCCAGCTGCCACTTGTTAGAAGATGCTGGTTCAGCCTGAAAACAGAAAACCGGTGACAAACGAAACATCTTTCATTAAAGGCTCACTTAAAAGGGGCCTGGCTGTTCTTATCTTGACTTGCTCCTCTAAGTGTATGAGCAGAAAACGAATGGGCTAGAAGCAAAAAGGAAAACAGAAGCATTAAGTGTGTGCAGCAGCCCCATGTTGCACTCAGGATGCCTGGATGATGCTGTCCTTACTGGCCCATGGCACTAAATGTCCCTGCAGCAGTTCGAAGTCTCTTTGGAAAAATAAGGAAAGCATTGTGCCTTGTGAGAACCCATTTCCTAGTACTTTTGAGTGTTAGTATGCATTTTAACAAAAGTAATTATACATACATATGTGAACTTGTGATTCCCCAAAACTGGACAATAGTTTAGATGCCCTGAACATTAAATCACTTGTTTTCTTTGGTGAGACTTAAAACTTCGGGGAGATCTGAAGAGAGGACTAAATGGAACCTATAATCCCAAACGATTAACATGAGTTATGTGTTGAAGGCAGGCAGGCTATCGTTGTTTGGTGGTAGGAGCAAAGACCTTGGGAAGATGGCTTGTTTTGCATGTAGAACTATTTCAGCGGGACCTGTGCATCTTTGGCAGCCTGACTGGGTCAGTCTATCCTCAACCTGCTTCGATCACACTTTGCTAGAACTATTTCAGACATGGAGGTGAGATGGAAACCTTTCCTGCAAGCAGTTTTGCTAACTTATAGCAACTTGAGAAAGTCACTGGTTTTGAACTGTGGCCCACAGGTTGGCTCTGGGGTTGAGGCTGTGGGGTGGCCAGGGAATGCCCTGAAATGGATGGGAAATGTGTACATGCATTTTGTTACTGGAAGAGGTCTGTAGTTTTCAGTTGTGTCTTTAAGAATCTATGTCTCAGAAAAGAAAAATTAAGGACCAATCCAATAATTTTATAGGAAGTAAATGCTGATGCCTAAGAAAAGTCAATTTATCCAGCATTATGATTATTAAGAAAAAACAGGTGTATTTGGAAGTCTAGAATTTTGGCCAGAGTATTTTCAATTTCACAAATTGAAATCAGTAAAATATTTTGGCTGATTAAGGTGATGTGTTTTTCCTTCCCTATGGCCTTCCACCTTTCGAATTTGTGGCACACATTGTTTTAGGGGAGACCAGATACCAGGCTAGAGTAAGAAGACACTGCTTAGCTCCATACTTCAAACTTGATCAGTTCAAGTCTAGAGCAAATTGGATCTGTTCCCAGAGAAAAAATATCTTAACACAATAAATTTGACCATTTGATCTTTGACAAACCTCACAAAAACAATGGGGAAAGGATCCCCTGTTTAATAAATGGTGTTGGGAAAACTGGCTAGCCATGTGCAGAAAGCAGAAACTGGACTCCTTCCTGTCGGCTTACACTAAAATTAACTCCAGATGAATTAAAGACTTAAACATAAGACATAACACCATAAAAACACTAGAAGAAAATCTAGGAAAACCATTCAGGAAATAGGCATAGGCAAGGACTTCATGACTAAAACACCAAAAGCATTGGCAACAAAAGCAAAAATACACAAATGGGACCTAAAAAAACTCCAGAGCTTCCACAGCAAAAGAAACAATCATTAGAGTGAATCGGCAACCAATAGAATGGGAAAAAATTTTTGCAATCTACCCATCTGACAAAGGGCTGATATCCAGAATCTACAAATAACTAAAACAGATTTACACGCAAAAAACAAGCCCATTCAAAAGTGGTGAAGGATATGAACAGACACTTTACAAAAGGAGACATATATGAGGCCAACAAACATATGAAGAAATGCTCATCATCACTGGTCATTAGAGAAATACAAATCAAATCTACATTGAGATACCATCTCACGCCAGTTAGAATGGCGACCATTAAAAAATCTGGAGACGGGGCCAGGCGTGGTGGCTCAAGCCTGTAATCCCAGCATTTTGGGAGGCTGAGGCGGGTGGATCATGAGGTCAAGAGATCGAGACCATCTCCTGGTCAACATGGTGAAACCCCGTCTCTACTAAAAAAAATACAAAAAATTAGCTGGGCATAGTGGCACGTGCCTGTAATCCCAGCTACTCAGGAGGCTGAGGCGGGAGAATTGCCTGAACCCAGGAGACAGAGGTTGCGGTGAGCCAAGATCGCGCCACTGCACTCCAGCCTGGGTAACAAGAACGAAACTTCGTCTCAAAAAAAAAAAAAAAAATCTGGAGACAACAGATGCTGGAGAGGATGTGGAGAAACAGGAACACTTTTACACTGCTGGTGGGAGTGTAAATTAGTTCAACCATTGTGGATGACAGTGTGGCGATTCCTCAAGGACCTAGAAATAGAAATTCCATTTGACCCAGCAATCCCATTACTGGATATATATCCAAAGGACTGTAAATCATTCTACTATAAGGACACATGCACAGGAATGTTCACTGCAGCACTGTATACAATAGCAAAGACCTGGAACCAACCCAAATGCCCACTGATGATAGACTGGACAGGGAAAATGTGGCACATAAATACCATGGAATACTATGCAGCCACAAAAAATGATGAGTTCGTGTCCTTTATAGGGACATGGACGAACCTGGAAACCATCATCTTTAGCAAACTGACACAAGAATAGAAAATCAAACACCGCATGTTCTCATTCATAGGTGGGTGTTGAACAATGAGAATACATGGACACGGGGAGGGGAGCATCACACACTGAGCTTTGTTGGGGGGCAACTAGGGGAGAGACAGCAGGGGGTGAGGAGTTGGGGAGGGATAACCTGGGGAGAAATTCCAGATATAGGTGATGGGGAGGAAGGCAGCAAACCACACTGCCATGTATGTACCTATGCAACAATCCTGCATGTTCTTCACATGTACCCCCAAACCTAAAACACAATTTATATATATATATATATAAACACACACACACACACACACACACACACACTTGTTAAAACAACATAGTAAATTTGAAAAGCTTCCTCTGAAATATCAAGGTTTGTTTTTCAACAGCAAGGCCTGTATTAAGAGCAGAACTCAGGGCTCTGGGCCTCACCTCAGGCATTAAGGATCTCAAGAGGGGAGGAGAGCGCTATATCACAGACTCAGGGGCCCTGGCTGAGTCCAGGGCACAGCTCAGGGAAACGGGAAGCCTCTGATGGGCCAGAGTAGGCTGGGGCCAAGAGAAATTGGCCATAGAGCATGGGGATCAGGCAACCAGAGCTATAGCAGGGACTGTGGACATCCAGCTGGTTGTCCCAAACCAGATGGGACCAACCGCACTTCAGGGCAGACTGGCACAGGGTGGCTGGTGACTTGGAGAAGCAAGAAAATTTTAGTGGAGGCCAGAATGAGGACGGAGGCCCCTTCCCTGGGCTGTGATGACAAAGAAGCCATCCTAGAGTGCAGGTGGGGAGGGGGGATCCCCTGGCCCTGACACGGATTCTGGTCTTTGACTTGATTTTTTTTCTTGCTTGTTTTCGTGCTGCCAACAGAACTAGGGGCTCCAGAGATACATGCAAATGAGCAGAAAGACAGATCGTTTTTACACCTATAAGTTCTATGTAAATCATGACCTTGCTTTATTTGGCTTTTCCAGAGAAAGGGAACATGGGAAACTATGGAGCATGGCCAGTGCATGTGGCAGTGGTAGATGCTCTCCCATGGCCAGAGAAAGCAGGACAGTGGGACATAGAACAGCTTCTTGGCCAAGGGGGAATCCCTTATCTCCCCTGAGATTGAGAGTGCCTGAAAACGAATTTGGTTGCAAAAATCAATGACTTCTAATTTTGTCTCCCTCAACCCCGATTTCTCTCATTAAGTCAGTGCCTTCGCCTGTGCCTCAGCTTCCCTAGACAAATGGGGCACAGTAAATAAGAATGGATGCTGAAGGGGCCTCCTGCAGAAAGGGTACACATACTGGGAGAGGACACACACAGATATGGCAGAACGCAGCCCTCAGGCTGGCCCCGCCACTGCGTTTCACACTAGCTCTCCCTCACTGCCACCATCCGGAGCCTTCTACAGCTCAAGTCTCCTATGTGAGAGAACATGGAAATCTGTTTGTGGCCCAAACACAGCTGCATATGGGAAAATTCACACTGACACTTCCTAGCAGGAGCATTAACAGAAGGACAGAATTTAATACATTTAGTACAGGCCCACTGTACGGTATGCTTCAGGGTCATTTTTCCTGCACTTCACAGCTGAAGAAATCAGTTTGAAGTACCACTTTCAACACATCACTAAATTATACTTTTTTTCTCAAGGATCTACAGTAATCTTCTATTGCCTCTCAAACAAAATCCAAATTCCTAAGGCTGGAATTCAAGGGTATCCATTATCTTGCAATCATCTTTCATTGCCAGAATACCTACACTTTAACTCCCACTTCACATGTATTATCTCATTTAATCTTTACAGATAAGAAATGTTATCACCCTTAACTTGTAGATGAGGCTCAGAGAGGCGAAGGGACATACCCAGAGCTGCACAGCTACTGAGCTCCACCAAGACTGACTTTGTACTCATCTAGCTTTAAAGACCAATGGTCTCCGCTGCTGCATTGCCGTGTTTCCAAACCACTGTTTGGCATAGCCTCGTGAAAGGGAGACTGCATTCCTTTGAGAAATGTCTGTCTTCATCCTAAAATGACAGAATCAGATCTGAATTTTGGTGAAAACACCAAGAACACTCCACACAGTACTCGTTGCCCTCTGTTGCACTCAATCGCAGTCTTTTGACGTTTATATTTGTTTCATATGTATTGTGTCTTCAAAAAAGCCAAATGCTTCTTTCAGGTGAGGGGCAGGTCTCTTGTTTCTTTAGTACCCCTTGCAGCATCTATACTAGGTCAGGGAGGCAGATTACTATGGTGCTCCTAATAAGAGCAACTCACAGTGACCTGTCACTCAAATTTTATCATTTATTCCTTTATCATCATCATTTTTCCTCCCACAACCTCACAGATTAGGCAGGACAGGAATGTGTGCCATTCTGGAAATGAGGCAATTGTGGCCAAGGAAGCTTCAAGGACACAGAATTTAGTAGCGGTGAGGAGGGGAATCTCAGGCTGCAGACACCAGGCCACTGGTATGTGGCTGGCCACAGTCTGCTTCCTGAGCCGTCCACCTAGGGTTTCTGCTCAAGGTTCTTGCTTGTTTGCTGGCTCCCTGCTTTCTATTTTCAGCCATGACTCTCCTCCCTAACTGACCTTCCCTCTGACTCATGCATCAGCTCTTCACCATGCACTCTGGCCCCGCTTCATCTAAATCCTTCAAGTACCCACTGCCAGAGACTGTGTAGGCACCTAATAAATGAGAAGCTTGTTGAATCAGTGAGCAACTTGAATCACATTTCTGCTGATTTTTAAGAATAATCTAGGGCAGCATTTTCCAAAATGTGCTTTTAGCTCATCTATCCGAAGAAGATGGGTTTCCAGAGTCAGATCAATTTGGGAAGTGCCACAATAGAAAACACAGTATACCTGAGCAATAGTTAAGGGCTGGGTGATGATTCTGTAGGTAAAGAGGTGGGAGATCTCCTCAAGATTATGCGTCTAGGCTTTTTTCTTCCACATAATATTTATTACTTGTCCAACAAAGGTCGAGGGAGCTCCGTGTGTGGGGGCAACGTGTTATCTGAGTGGAAAAGCAGCTTCCCCTGCAAGGCTCTGGTATAAGAGGCTGTACAATGCTCGGAAAGCAGATTAGATTCCAGTGAGAAGAAGTCTGAGACCAATGAAGCCCACATCATGCCACAGAGAGGGCCCCTCCATGCTACGCAGGAACATGGCATTACCATACTACAGTGATTTACGTGAAACAAACTGTCTCTCAACACAGTCAGAAAGGACACCTACGCAACGTAGCTGAGCCCAGTGGGTTTTCTGAGTGCTGGCACATGGTGGGGAGAATTCAGGGAGCCTCCTAGGCCCACAGCAGGATGTTACAGCAGGGGAGTGAGGAACAGAAGCTTTCTGCTTCAAAGCAGCACACATGGATCTGAGCAGCGGAATGTGAGGTGCACGGCTATGAAGAGCCCGACTGTCATGTGGGGTTCAGGAAAAGGAGTCTTACTGCTCTCTCTAAGGTGACCTGAGCCAGCACTGCCACAGCCAGGCAGCGAGGCTGTGGAGGACAGGCAGGGTGATGTTACTTCCCGCCTTTGCCATTTGCAGTCTGCAAACTCACTTTCTTCCTAAAGGGTGTATGTATCTGTATTAGCCTTAGGAAAAATGTTAGAATAACTTTACTTTTATTCCAACAAATACATTTCTTTCCTGCAGAAAGAAAGAACGGGCAGTGTGGCTAACACATCACCTGCTGCTTCTGCAGTCCTCTTCGTAGGGAAGCCAGTAATTCAAAACCACACGTAGCCTCGGGTGACTTAAACTTTTAGGACTGACTCCTTTAGGAGGCTCTTGCCCCATCTCCTGAGCGAGGGGCCTCTGATAGCTACTGGGAGAAATGACAAGAGCCTCCTTTCATCACTCAGGAGTTCAAGTCTTTGTAATTATCTCAGTGACATTTAGAAAGCATTTGCTTAAAGCACTTTATAACTGTACTGCTCTTCAATGAGGTTTCAGCCAACGCGGGAGCTCTAGGACCTACATTTTGGCATGAAAATAAGACTGAATGTTCATGAATTTAACCCACAAAATCACAAGGAGGAGCCTGGATGAGTGATCTTCACAGACACACACACTTTTTGGACATGCCCCCTGCCTGCCCTGTCCTTGCCCTGTCCCTGGGACTCAGCTATTTCTTATCACTAAATATTCTGGAATTTCTCCATGAAGTATAGCATAAAGCAGGCTTCTGAAGCCTGCTTAACTCCTCTACTTTAGTTAACTCCTGTATTTTTTCATTTCGAATCATCCCCATTAGAATGTCAGCTATGAAGATAGGAACATTTTCTGTCACATAATTGCTGTATTCCAGAGCCAAGTACTGTGCGACCAACGCTCAGTAAATATTTATTGAATGAATTCTGAATGAGCGAATGAATTAATGAATGAGTAAATGAAATTATGCTGAAGGAATAATAATTTAGTTTCTGGGAAAAGCCAAGGTTATGTTACCCTAAGGTTTTCAAAGGTTGATGTTGCTAACAGCCTTCCCCTTAAACAAATGTAGATAGATGGATAAATAGATGGACAGATAGATGGAAAGGCAGAGACAGAACCTCACGGGAAGGAGAGCGTGGAGAGACGGCTTGGTTCAGGATGAATGGAGAGTCCTGAGGCGGGGCAGAAAGGTGCTAAAAAGAAAAGGAGGGCTGTGAAGAAACAAAATCTCCCTGATTTCACAGTGCTCCTGCAAACAGCCTTAGCCTCCTGAAAGAAGTGGGGAGGAGAAAAACCTGAAGGAATTGAAGAGCCACTCCGTGAACCTGAGATGGAAACACCACTGCTTTCAAGTGTGCCAATGCCTCAGGCATGGCTATAAAAGCTGAGGGGTTGGGGGCTGATTGGGCCCATTAAGGTGCTCCCCTCTCACTACAATGGTTTGTAGAAGTGGGTTTGGTTCCATTTCAGAGGCTATTTAGAAATTTGCTCCCCCAAATAATAGACAGGGTTGTAAATAAAAAATTAAACCTGACAATCATGGTCATGTCAAATGTTTACATGCTCAAGAAGAGTGTGTATTTTATTCCTTGTTTAGAAATTAGAGTCTATCCTTAGAGCTCTGCAGCCTGGGGAAGTTTCTCCTGGACGTCTCCCAAGAAACTTCATGCTCTGAATTACTGTTTAATTTTCCCCTTTCTACTTTAAAGTAGAAAGAGCAATGGTTTTTATTGATACCTTCTAATGCTTTTGTAGGAGGCACCTAAATCTTCCACATAGATACTCATCATAGCTATAAAAGGTTTCAATATTATTTGTAGGTTGATGCTAATTTTTCTTTTTATATTTCCACCAAGAAAACATAGTTAAGAAGGTTTTATTAATATTTATGGCCGTTGTTCTTCTGATCTGTGACAAACTGCAAAAAGCTAAGAATCTGACCGTGTCCAATCCATAAAACCCCTTTCCCTGAGATTTATGGATGGCCACAGTTCCCAGGCAGTGAGTGGCCCTGTCCAGCAACTGCCCTGGCTGACCTGGAGGGAGACCTAGGCCATAGGTTATTTCCTGTCAATGATGTTTACAGCATACTTGGAGATTTCTGAAAGTCGAGATAGAGATTTGGGGGCAATGAAAGTTGATGTTTCTGTACTTCAAAAGAAGCTGTGTAATTAGGAGACTGTGAGGAGGGGACAGAGCTGGGAAAATGTGGACCCCGAAGCCCACAGCCTCCTCCTGTCCAGCACCTGGCTTGGGGGTCTGCGGGAGGGAAGAGACCTGAAGCAGTGTGATGGCTACGATGCCAGGACTTGCTATCCTCATAGACGCAGAAGTGGGCAGAGGAGGGGCCTGAGCCAGGCAGTGCTTACCTCGGGGCTGGAGAAGTGGGGGGGCTTGCTGCCCTCACTCTCGCTGGAGCTGCTCTCGGTCTCCGAGTCGGATCCGGAGCTGCTCTCCGAGTCGCTGGAGGAGCTGCTGCTGCCGCTGCTGCTGCTGCTACTGCTGCCCTTGCTGGAAGGCACTGAGGCTCTGCAGTTGGGCTGCTGGACCACGACGCTGCCAGCCCGAGAGGCCCCCGGGAAGGAGAGGGAAGGAAAAAGCCAAGTGAGCAAACAGGAAAATACCATCCAAGCTGCCATGCACCCCAAGAGAGAGGAGGCACACAGCCCACACATCTGTCAACCTGACCTGGAACTCAAAGAGCAGGCGTCGAGGTCAAATCATCCTAAAGGTTAAAGCAACTCATATATAGAATAAAATCAGGAGTGAAATCGGTGCCCCTTGGTAGTCAGGCGCTGGTTATTTGTGTGGCTATTTTGGAAGGGAAGGTAGTATTACATACTAATGGCTGTTTCTATTTTGCTGCTGTTCTGGGAATGGCTTTTCAAATGCATCCCCAAATCCAATCATCTACAAAAAATGCAAGGAAATCCAAAAAGCTTGAACTATTTTGCCAAGTGTGAAAATGACTGCTTTATTTTTGCCCTAGAGGAAAATGCAGCATGATGGCAGGGCTTAGGCAGAGGGCTGTCAGGAAGGGCACAACGTTCTGCACTGACCATTCATGGCCTGCTGGAAGGTTCCAGAGACTGACGGACTATCCAAGTTAATGTCTTGCTTCCTCCCTTTTCCCACCTGTAGTTGACTGCTGCAGTGGTTACAGATGCTGGCATGTTGTTACAAACAGTAACCTTCCTTTGAGCGCTTTCCTAGAGAACTGCAGATCCCTCACTGACACACTTTTGCATGTTCTAGACTTTAAAATTCAATCCCAGTGCTGTGGCTTATATGAAGTGCATCTCACATTTATACGTGATGCTTATATCTACGCTGAAATTCGCCAGAAAGTCATTACAAACTCAAAGATAGCAAGAAAATTGACGGATGCTTTCCAATAGTAATTAACCATAAACATTCAAATAGCACACATCCACCCAGAAAGTGTTTGAGTGAAAAAGAAAATTTCAGTACTCACATAATATTCAACATCTTCAAAGTCCTTTACTAACAAAACTGAAACACACCTTAATGTGTTCTTTTGAGGTCAAGCTCTAAACACCAAAAATGCCAGTCACTCTTGCATGTTGAGTCAGCAAATATCTGCTTCCTTCCAACTGTGACCAGTGCTTCCATAGGACCAGGCATCAGTGAAGGCCAGGGGCCCGGGAGCTTGTGAGGGTTTATGGCCTCAAGTGCAAAGCAGCCTGGACAAGGTAAAGGACTCCTTTTACCCATCCTTTAAATCTTTGATACATGCTTTGCCCAAGGTGGACTTTCATAAATCCTGGGTATGGGGGTGGGAATGGAGGTAATACTCATTGGAGATCTGTTTCTATAAAAACCACCAGAAAAGAAACTGTCTTGCAGGAAGTCTAAAAATAAAAGCATCTTTTGGAATGGCAGGGTTAGGGGAACCAGAGTTTGAACATAACTTTCCCTAGAGGGGTTTTTATTTCTTCCACCAATGTCACGGTCCGTACTGATTGTCTGACAAAATTCTTCAGCATCAGACAACATCTGCATGTTCATGCCTTGCCTGAGCTGCAGCGATTTCTTTTCTAGCCTGTTATTTGTGTCTGGAATTGAGTGAGGGATCCTGAATTTTAAGACAGAGTAGGGCAAGGGACAGTTAGAGCTCAGGGACTGTAATATTTCGTTCCTTTCTTATGAACAAGAATCTGTCTTTCTTGTTGGCTGAATTGAGACGGTTACTATCAATGGAATAATAAAAGAAGACTATTGAATTCTGACTGCACGTGAACATCTGGGATCCATGTTAATGCTTCATCGAATTTGACAGAAACAAGCAATGGGGAAAGGATTCCCTATTCAATAAACGGTGCTGTGAGAACTGGCTAGCCATATGCAGAAGATTGAAACTGGACCCCTTCTTTATACCATATACAAAATCAACTCAAGATAGATTAAAGACTTAAATGTACAAACTAAAACCAAAAAACCCCTGGTAGACAACCTAGGGAATACCATTCAGGACATATAAATGGGCAAAGATTTCACGACAAAGATGTCAAAACAATTGCAACAAAAGCAAAAATCAACATACGGGATCTAATTAAACTAAAGAGCTTCTGCACAGCAAAAGAAACTATCAACAGAGTAAGCAACCCTCAGAATGGGAGAAAATTTTTACAAACTATGCTTTTGAGAAAGCTCTAATATCCAGCATTTATTAGGAACTTAAACAAATTTACAAGAAAAAGACAACCCCATTAAAAAGTGGGCAAAGGACACGAACAGACACTTTTCAAAAGAAGACATACATGTGGCCAACGAGCATATGGAAAACAAGCTCAACATCACTGATCATTAGAGAAATGCAAATAAAAACCACAATGAGATACCATCTCACACCAGTTACAATGTCTATTATTTAAAGTTCAAAAATTAAGGTGTTGGCGAGGTTGTGGAGAAAAAGGAACACTTACACACGGCTGGTAGAAGTGTAAATTAGTTCAATCATTGTGGAAGACAGTGTGGCGATTCCTCAAAGACTTAAAGATAGAAATGCCATTTAACCCAGCAATCCCATTATTGGGTATATACCCAAAGGAATATCATAAAGACACATGCACACATATGTTCATCACTGCCGTGCTATTCGCAAGAGCCACATTATTCACAGTAGCCAAACTATTCACAATTCTATGCTAAAACATAGAATTAACCCAATTGTCCATTGGTGACAGCTGGATAATGAAAATGTGGTACACATATACCATGGAATATAATGCAACTCTTAGAAAAAAAGATTATGTCCTTTGCAGGGACATGGATGGAGCTGGGGGCCATTATCCTTAGCAAACTAACACAGGAACAGGAAACCAAATACCACATGTTCTCACTTATAAGTGGGAGCTAAATGATGAGAACACATGGACACAGAGGGGGAACCACACCAGTGGGGCCCATTGGAGGTGGAGGATGGGAGGAGGGAGAGGATCAGGAAAAATAAACTAATGGGCACTAGGCTTAATGCCTGGGTGATGAAATAATCTGTAAAACGAACCCACATGATACAAATTTACCTATGTAACAAACCTGCACATCCTGCACACGTGCCCCTGAACTTAAAAAAGTAGTTTTTTGGCATGTCCTAAAACACTGCAGGGGAGACACACAAAAATAAACAAAAAAGCAAAATGACATATGGCTCAAAAGTGTCCTTGTTAAAAGAATGGGGGTGGGGGGCATAGATGTGGAGGAAAGATATGTGTTTCTCTGCCACCGTCTGGAGTGACCTCTGCCAAAGATTAGCAAATGAAGATGAATAAAGAATATTCTGATTGGTGATCAAAGCCACTGGACATCATAGAAAACCAATCAGTACATTCTATCTGCTTTCACTGAACAAAAAACATGATGCTGGTCCTGTGTGCACTGGGCTTTCTGTGTATAGCAGAGGCAGCAAGATGTGTGGGATTCCTTGAGGCTTGTACCACAAAGTGAGTGTCTTTTGAAAAGTAGCACTTTAATTTCTAAGAAGTGTCCATTCAGTAGTTACCATGCTGCCTGTCTTTAAAGGCTGCCGTCCTAAAGTGATGAGGCACACCAGCCCAAGGAGGCAGCATCTCCGATCTGAATTATATTGGCAGAAAAACCTTACACTTTAATGTCTTCCTTTCTTAAATTAGGAAATTCACTTAAAATGACAGTTTTACTGGCATAACTATTATTTATTTTTACAACAGCTGAGAGAGTCAAGAGTTTAGGTTTTTCTTCATTCGTTACTTATAAGGGTTGTGAAACTTACGATGTCTGGATTAAATACACTCATGTTTCAGTGGTTCTGGTAGAGGGTACAATATGTATTATGTCTAGAAACAATCATGGCAAAGATGGGGACAGATTTTCCTGGAAGGGCACTGGTGGCTCCAGTTGTGGGATCAAGATCACTCTCCCCATTTCCACGAAGGCAGTTGCTCTAAACTGTCCTTGCATGGAGACTTGGGGTCAGCTGACCATTCTGGCCTCAATGTAGTGACTGCTCCCGTCATGGGTGCTCACAGCTGCTTTACCCATCATGGGGCAGCTGCAGCAGCAAGGGTGGCAGAGCCAAGGTGAGGAAGCCAGGAATGGCCCTCCCTGCAGACGAGTACCAGTGAAAGGATGAACTTTGCTAAGCCACATACACACACATATACATACATCTATGGAATTTGTTGTTGCTCAGGCTGGAGTGCAGTGGCAATCATAGCTCACTGCAGTCTCAAATTCCTGGGCTCAGGCAATCCTTCCTCCTCAGCCACCCAAGTAGTTGGAACTACAGGCATGTACCACCACACCTGGCTAATTTTTGCATATATATATATTATATATGCAAATATATATTATATAAAAACATATGCAATTATATATATAATATACATAAATAATATATATATATATAAAAGACAGGATCTTTCTATGTTGTCCAGGCTAATCTTAAACTCCTGGCCTCAAGCAATCCTTCCACCTCAGCCTCCCAAAGTGCTGGGATTACAAGTATGAGCCACTGCACCTGGCCTAGGCTTTATATATTTAAAATTACAAACTGAAAATTTTAGTGTGCCAATTGGTTTTCATGTTTACATACCAAACATACTTTAAAAAAATTAACTTAAGCCTGGGCAACATAGTGAGACCCTGTCTCTACCAAAAAACAAACAAACAAAAAACAAATTAGCTGGGTGTGGTGGCATGCGCCTGTGGTCACAGCTACTCAGGAGGATTACTTGAGCCTGGGAGGTAAGGTGTGATTGTGCCACTGCACCCCAGTCTGGGTGACAGAGCAAGGCCCTGCCAAAAAAAAATTATAGTGGAATTTTTCCTGAAATGATAACACGGACAGCTTGGACAAGTTTCAGCATAATACCTACCAAGTTCTTGGACCCAGTGCCATCTCATGAATGGTGCCATTGACAGCAGCCATGAAACATTATTAAGATCATGGAATAAAAGTATTTGTGGCCGGGCGTGGTGGCTCAAGCCTGTAGTCCCAGCACTTTGGGAGGCCGAGGCGGGTGGATCACGAGGTCAAGAGATCGAGACCATCCTGG